TATGTAAGCCACACATAGCAAAGGTAAAGTACGCCTATTTATTTAATAATGCCATGTGCCTTAGAGTCAAGCAAGCATTTAATAAGCCCTATGGCATTGTCCTGTGGAAATGGCGTTCTTTCTAATACTGTCCTCCATGCAGCAGGTGGGCGTATATTCGTATTAGTGGACATTTACAGTAAATTTCCTGAAGTTTGGACTATACTCCCTGCCAATGCACACTACATGGTAAATATAAATAACAAAAGATAATAGTCCTATATCCAGTGTGTAATTTCAGTCGGAAGAGTCCATAATGGTGTTTCGGAAATTGTATTTTTAGCGAAAGAACATCCATCGTCGTCACTTCATATTGTCCTGCTGTTACTGAGCTGATGTTGTGCAGTGGTGTGCAACAAAAATAAAGACATGCTTCGGGTTACCAGACTCCCTGAAGGGACAGTACTTAATTTCCCATGTCGTTACGTGAAAATGTCATTCGTAAGAATGCGCAAGTGTTTGTGAGATCAAATTGCAGGACATGCGACGTCAGCGTTACGAAAAAAAACATTGATTGAGAAATGTATCCGTGAATATGGCGTGTACAGTAGTCTATTTCCACGTGTTTATATTGATGGCAAATATTGATTATAAGCCCAATAGTGGTTTGTTTTATTATCTAGAAAGCAAGAGTTCGTTCATGTTGCCGTGACAATTTAGAGTTAAGCTCCTAAACATTTTTATTACTCACGTTCTGTGAAACTAAGACCACTCAAGGAATGATCACATTTATGCAAATTATTTCTAACATTCTGATTTTTTTAAAATAACAATTAATATTTAATGCAGCCGTTAATTATCTTGTACTTTGTCACAATCGTGTTCGCGGTTAACAAACGCCGTTAATGCAATTTGTTATTTGACAGAGCCTTCATTCGTGGCTGGTGTTAGTTTGCTGCAAGATTTACTGCGCGTTGCGTGGTGCACTGGACGAAAGGGCCGAGTTAATTTTTGTCCCGTAGCCAACAGATTGCTGAGTCGCTAGGGTGACTGCGAGCAACGCGACAGTTCTGCCCATGTCACTGACGAGGGGATCCAAAAATAGCGTTTCGTTTTCACATTGTTGTGTGGAATAGGGTAGCGTTGTCAATGCCATCTGGCGTCAAGGCTTGGGGAGAGTAGCCTTACTCATAGCCACTAAGTCTGGTTACATAGCCCAAAATGCTCTGCTTTCAACGGGAAGGGGGTGTTAAGTCAAACCAAAAACCACATTGCATGCCTTAATCATACACAGCGTATTAACAGCGTCCGGAAAACGACGTTTTGCAGACGAGAGGTTTCTCACGAAAATGTCCATACTGTAAATGAACTTCCATTCCATGGTGTGCCAATGCTTCACATTTGCACACTGCCTACATCTCTCGATACATCCTAAAACAGTACAGTACTCTACACCACTAATAATGCATTTTATTGGGTCCAGTACGCTTATTGGGTGTGTATGTCAAGGTTTTTTTTAATATAGGGTCTGTCTTCAGTCACTCAGTAAAAGCGTTGCCGCAATGTGGTGAACTGACGATATTTCGTACAGTATAAAAGCCACGATAATTGTATAATCCACTTTTCAGAACATTGTCAACATCTTGATCACTGTCGCTTGCTTCATTAAAAAAAATGCCATTTTCTGACAAAATGAAATAAAAATAGTGAATATTTACCAGCGATATTTCTCCCAAATGAAGAGCACATTTGAGAGATTTTGTTCCACTCTATTGAACTGAGTGTTGGTGAATCGCTGATACACTGCCTTAAAATGCACATTTCGGGCAGTGCCATATTCTATCGTCCGTGGTTTTGGTGTTCAGTCCGGTGATCGGGGGTCGCTGATGAGCTGGTGTGATGTGAAGCCCTGCCAGTGTGGTGATAGGGATTGCTGATCGGGTGTGAGTTTTGGGCACGCTGTTTGAATGCCATTGGGTTGGTCCACTCCGTTTCGATGCTAAAATTCGCGTCACGCAGAGTTTGTGTGTGTTTCCAAAGCGGCTTTTTCAACGGTTTTACTTAACTTGACGCGGATGTTTGTCGTGGTCAAATCTTGTAATCAACATTTAGTCTATTCTAGATTTAAAGCTTTTGTGACTGCAAGGATCCATACTCTTTGGTTCTATTCGGTAAAGTCACATAACAAACAACAAAAAATAAAAAATAAAATTCACAACGTTTCGGCCACAACACAAGTGGCCTTCATCAGGTGAAGGGACCGTGCTGTCATGAGGACAGCGTTGGAGTGAAAACAGCCAAGCCCAGATCGCGTCCTTTAAGCTGTGTGGGAGGAAGCAAAGCGCTTGACAAAGGAATGAGTATAGAAATGAGCACGATGTACGTAGGAGGTGTATGGGCCATGATGGACCAGGAGCGGGTGGGGACCATAACGGACCAGCAGCAGGGGGGGGGAGTAGAGTGAGTGGAGTGAGTGAGTGGAGTGAGTGAGTGGAGTGAGTGAGTGAGTGGAGTGAGTGAGTGAGTGGAGTGAGTGAGTAGAGTGAGTGAGTGGAGTGAGTGAGTGGGTGGAGTGAGTGAGTGGAGTGAGTGAGTGGAGTGAGTGAGTGGAGTGAGTGGAGTGAGTGAGTGGAGTGAGTGAGTTGAGTGAGTGAGTGGAGTGAGTGAGTGGAGTGAGTGAGTGGAGTGAGTGAGTGGAGTGAGTGAGTGGACTGAGTGGAGTGAGTGAGTGGACTGAGTGGAGTGAGTGGAGTGAGTGAGTGGACTGAGTGGAGTGAGTGGAGTGAGTAAGTGGAGTGAGTAGAGTGAGTGAAGGGGACAAGACTGTCCAGAGGACAGTACACACAGTCAAGCTCAGACCGCGACCACTAAGCTGTGTAAGAGGAAGCAGAGCGCCCTGACAAAGGAATTAACATAAAAGTTAGCATTTCATTGGCGGACTTAGAATGAAGGATGATGTACTAGGGAGCATGTGCAGACAGGCGAGGGGGAGAGGGGGGAGCCCACATATTGATGGTGTGAAAAGGGAATTTAAGCAGCTGCGAAAGTTTGGGATACCACTGCTTAAAAAATATACTGTACCATTGAAAATTAGCTTAATGTTTGGTTTGATTCAGAACATCTTTCCAATGGTTGCTTAATTGATGGACCAGGAGCGGGTGGGGACCATAACGCTGCTGGTCCGGTATGGTCCCCACCCGCTCCTGGTCCATCATGGCCCATACACCTCCTACGTACATCGTGCTCATTTCTATACTCATTCCTTTGTCAAGCGCTTTGCTTCCTCCCACACAGCTTAAAGGACGCGACCTGGGCTTGGCTGTTTTCACTCCAACGCTGTCCTCATGACAGCACGGTCCCTTCACCTGATGAAGGCCACTTGTGTTGTGGCCGAAACGTCGTGAATTTATTTATTTTTTGTTGTTTGTTACGTGACTTTACCGAATAGAACCAAACATTTAGTCTACTTCCTGTTGTCCAATCAATTCCAAATTTTGCACACTTACTCAGATCCGGTGACAATGCATGCCTCTATCAAAATCGGCATCAATTAATTCGCTATTTTAAAGCAATTTACATTCTGTATAGACGCCTTATTATTTATATATTTGTGTAGGTAAAAAAACGCCGCTTTCCCTAAACTCTCGAATCGCCTCGTGCCTTATTGGGCACACTCTGCATTAATCCTATGTGGGTAAACTCATGCTTATTGGGTACACTCTGCATTAATCCTATGTGGCTAAACTCGTGCCTTATTGGGTACACTCTGCATTAATCCTATGTGGGTAAACTCGTGCCTTATTGGGTACACTCTGCATTAATCCTATGTGGGTAAACTCGTGCCTTATTGGGTAGACTCTGCATTAATCCTATGTGAGTAAACTCATGTTTATTGGTTACATTCTGCATTAATCCTATGTGGGTAAACTCATGTTTATTGGGTACACTCTGCATTAATCCTATGTGGGTAAACTCGTGCCTTATTGGGTACACTCTGCATTAATCCTATGTGGGTAAACTCATGCCTTATTGGGTACACTCTGCATTCATCCTGTGGGTAAACTCATGCTTATTGGGTACACTCTGCATTAATCCTACGTGGGAAAACTCGTGCCTTATTGGGTACACTCTGCATTAATCCTACGTGGGTAAACTCATGCTTATTAGGTACACTCTGCATTAATTCTGTAGGTAAACTTATGCTTATTGGGTACACTATTGATTCCGATGTGGGTAAACTCGTGCCTTATTGGGCACACTCTGCATTAATTATGTGGGTAAACTCGTGCCTCATTGGGCACACTGCATTAATCCTACGTGGCTAAACTCGTGCCTTATTGGGTACACTCTGCATTAATCCTATGTGGGTAAACTCATGCTTTTTGGGTACACTCTGCATTAATCATGTGGGTAAACTCATGCTTATTGGGTACACTGCATTAATCCTATGTGAGTAAACTCATGCTTATTGGGTACACTCTGCATTAATCCTATGTGGGTAAACTCATGCCTTATTGGCTACACTCTGCATTAATCCTATGTGGGTAAACTCGTGCCTTATTTGGTACACTCTGCATTTATCCTGTGGGTAAACTCATGCCTTATTGGCTACACTCTGCATTTATCCTATGTGGGTAAACTCGTGCCTTATTGGGCACACTCTGCATTAATCCTATGTGGGTAAACTCGTGTCTTATTGGGTACACTCTGCATTAATCCTATGTGGGTAAACTCATGCTTATTGGGTACACTCTGCATTAATCCTATGTGGGTAAACTCATGCCTTATTGGGCACACTCTGCATTGATCCTATGTGGGTAAACTCGTGCCTTATTGGGTACACTCTGCATTCATCCTATGTGGGTAAACTCGTGCCTTATTGGGTACACTCTGCATTAATCCTATGTGGGTAAACTCGTGCTTTATTGGGTACACTCTGCATTAATCCTATGTGGGTAAACTCGTGCTTATTGGGTACACTATTGATTCCTGTGGGTAAACCCGTGCCTTATTGGCTTCACTTTGACCACGTGTCACCAGTGACGTCGCCTCACCGGGTTGGGCCTTCTCGAAGCGGGCCGTTGCCTAATCGCGGTAAAGTCAACCGCGGGTGTCGTTCACCTCGCGTCGTTCACCTCTCGGCGTCGTTCACCTCTCGGCGACGTACACCTCGCCTGCTCTTCACAAAGCAGACGCGACACTCGGACCAAGGCCCCCACCCGAGCGCTAAGCGGCGGTAAGCACAAACCAAACCCTAACACCGCAGTCGTTTTAAATCAAACACCGCCGTTCGTGAGAATTTTTTATTGTTTTATATATATTTTGTTATTTTGTTGTTTCTCTTCAACGTGACTTTACCGAAAAAACTAAGAATATGAATTACTGCAGTCACGAAAGCTTTAAATCAAAATTTAAAAACAAAGGCAAGGTTAACAAACGGCACTGTCCAAGGTGGGCCTGAGGCGGTCCGGGTTTTTTGTTGTTGTTGTTTTTTATTTTTGGTTCAACAACCTAGCACGCGTTTTGAGCAGCTGTCAAGCCATTTGCGCGAAGAAATATTAAAAGACGAAGAAACGAATTAAGAGTGAATGCCGCAATCGATGCGGTTGTTATTGTGCGATGTCGGCTTGCTTGGGTTTCTCAGGCTTCAAGCAGGAAGGTTTCTTGGGTTTCGAGCGCCTCTGTGGCCGTATGTTTACTTTAACTCTTGGACTTTCGCGACCGATATCATCAATAATAGAGGTTTTTTCGGGTTAGATCGCGTAAATATATAAATGTTGTGTCGTTAAAACCCGCCACCACCCCGACACAGCCAACTAGTAAGGGTCGTCACGTAAACAGGTAAGACTCCTCCGCAAATCTGGCCGTCGCCTGATTAAGCTGGTTGTAATTACTGGCGAAACGTCGTGCTCTGATTGTAAATGTTGTGGCTTGGCTCTCCAACACACAACCGGTGTTGCTGTACTAGTGACGAATTGGCCACGTTCTGTTTACGTGACAACCCTTACTAGTTGGCCGTGTCGGGTGGTGGCGGGTTTTAACGACACATTTACGCGATCTAACCCCCCCAAAAAAAACCTCTATTATGGCCGTACATTAACAGCGCTGTCATCGATCCACTGCTGGATGAGGGTGACCCACCGCGCATTGCCGCTGATGTGGTTCACTGACCATACCTCGCCACGCTGGTCTGTGCCAGGTACAGATGTAGCTGCTATAGGGGGGACATAACGCAATATGGGGGGGGGGGGGCAGAGTTCAGAATTGACAGACCTGTGAATGCTGTTGTTAACCGTGTTCATGTTGTCTGCGTTGTTTATATTCAGGTCTCTGGGCTGAACAAACTTCACCATGGCTTCCGTTTGGCAGCAAGTGCTTGCAGTGGATGCCAGGTGCGCTGTTGGTAATTGCTCAAAGGTGCCACAGTAATGTGTCGGTGGTCGGAGTAGGAATATTGGGGTGGGTCCAAAGTATTTCTTGGGAATCCCCTATTGCGTCTTACCATATGTTTGCAACTGAAGTGTAAATAAAATACATTTCGAATTTCAGACCTTAATCACGTCAGATATATGAAGCTAAGCAGGTTGTGGCCTGGGTGGTGCAGGCTGGGTTGCCACCATAGTTTCCTGCTTCTCTATTTCGTTTCTATTCTCCACAACGACGCTCGTCATTATTTAATATTTTGCATAGTGGTCGCCCATCCCTGCACTATTTTTAGCTTCCGAGATCTAATTAGGGGATGGGGCCATTGGCGACGAATGCCCAAAATGTCACAGGACCACCACACACGCTTGCAAACAAATCCACGTTTCGTAACGTATGGCACGCTTGTCTTTGAAGGTACAATGCTTACCGCACGCCAAACAACCCGCAGTTCCGCACGCAGTACATCCGGCGACGGAGCCAGCTGCTGCGGGAGAACGCCAAGGCTGGGCACGACCCATCGGTCCGCAAGCAGTACCTGCGCCTGCGGTGTCAGATGCTGTCGCAGCGCTACGGACCACTCTCGGAGCAGAGCAGCTTCCGCGCGTACAGCAACAGCATCCGCAGCAGCCGCACGACGCTCGACCGAATGGAGGCACGGTTGCCCCCCACCCCCCCCCCCCCCCCCCCCACCACGGTGCAAGGGCTCTCTGTAGTTGTGGTCTCTTGTGAAACACGTGAGATCTGCCGATTGTGCGTGAAGAAGAACAGAAAGTTTAATACGTGTAGTTCCATTGCGATCTTCCTGAGCGCAAATTGTTCCTCTTTGAGTTGCATTTGTTCGTAAAGCTTCTTTCCGTTCCAAACAAAGAAATACCAGACTTATTCTAAAGGTCATGTATTTCCAGAGGGTGAAGCCTCATCAATATGGGCATTATTCTTGTAAAAATATACATTGCTGTCAAAGGGTCATGTGTCTCGGAATGTATGTGGGGTGTGCATTTTTCTAAGCTATCCACTTCTGCAGTTCTTAAGAGATTTGTGTGAAATAGCCAGCGCTGAAACGTATTTTGCCACCTTTAGATGCTTTTTTCCGACAACTTATGTTTTCATGGCTTAGCGAGTCTTGTATATCCAGGTCCCTTAGCATTATAGAAACAAATATTCGTTTCATATAATATTTGGAATTCGCACACTTGCTTGTGTATTACATTTATATGGCCACATTAAAATACAATTATTTAAGACTATACAAGTAATTTTGCAATGATGCACACTGATTTATACAGACATGGAATAAAATAAGAGCTAGTCATGTAAAGTATGTATGAACCTGAATGTTCAAATGAGCGGGGAAATGGGATTTTGTAGCTGCTCTTGAAATGTATCTTGACGACCTGTAAGTAGCTGGGAAAGTCCTTTTGTAATATCAAGTAGTGGCTTGAGTGCTTTAGAGTATACTACAAAAAGCCATTGAATTAAGATAAAAAATATATATTTACTATACAGACAACTTCAATATTATGTTTATCATTACATACATTTAAAATAACTTGTACAAGATGTAAGAAATTATTTAGTGCATGAGTGGAGTCAGGATGTTGATGTGTCACTGTGCATCACCTCCGATTAGTACCTCTGATTAGCACGGTTGCTAAGTACGGTGCGAAAATAAGTTCAACATACGTACATCAGATGATACTTTTGAAATAGGGCTTAAAGAAAGGAGCAACCATTATAAAATAACTCTTGCAGGTACGTACAGTAATTTCTCGTTTAATGCGGTAGGTGCGTTCCCGAAAAGTGCCGTGTTCAGTGAGGAATTACTGTATATATATTACAGGGCATAAAGACAAATATCAATGCAAATTTGAATACAATTTTCACTCAAATCTGCCTGCAATCATCCCATGGCGGAACAAAGAACTAAGATAAGGGTACACCGACGCAAACTTTATCATTCTGCACATACCCAGTTCCCATACCGCTCAGTCACACAGCTCAAGAAAGTAGTTTGTCGTCCACCGCCCAGAAACCACATTAGAACAGACACGTTTTTCATTGTGCGAAAAGTGTTCCCATATACAAGGACCGTGTTGTAGCGAACACGCGTTAAGTGAGGACGTATCGTAACTAGGATGTGTCCCATGCTGGAACGAGTTTGAAACTTTGTTAATTAAAAGAAAAGTTGCAGGCAGGTACAATATTGCATTGGTATAGTGTTAGTCGATTGACGTTGGAATGTGCATGGGGGTGATGTTGCAGAAACATCGCTCAAGGTTTTTTGTTGGGTTGTGCACTTTTTGCTCCTTTAACCACAATATATTCAAATTGTGCTGTTGGTATTATGTCACGAGACAAATAATCCATTCACAGAAATCCGTGCTGGGCAGGGCAGACAATGGCCTGCTGAAGAGATTGTGAAAAAAAAAAAACCTTCACCAGGGACTATTTTGTCTTAAGGACTCTCTTGTATGATGCTGACAAATTGGGAAAATACAGAATGTTACGACGATCCAGTGATCAGCCCGTTAACTGTGTGCCTGTCATGTGTGACAGGACTTTGAAGATGGCTCATACGACCAGCGTGGCCAGGGCTCACGTGGGCACAGACGCTCAATGAGCCGCAGCTCCTACCAATACCAAGCCCAGCTCAACCGCGCCATTGAAGACAGGCAAGCGCACGCTGCTCACACATTTCTGCTTGTAAAAGTGTTCCTTCAGACTTTCAAGAAGCCACTTTAGATGGCAGTCATCTGTAACAAGCACAGTGTACTCCATAGTAGTGTCCTCAAACATTGGGAGTCGTTAAGGGTTTTGGTCCGTATGTGCAGTGTCATTGCCTTATTTGTAGGTCATTAAGTTGTAGAATGTTTGAAACGGGTTCAAAAGCTCCTGTTTGTTTGACATGAAATGTGTAGTTTTACACTAAAAGAATGAATTGGAAGTGATTTATATCAATACAACAGTAGTGATGGCTGGTTGGAGGCCGACTCAGCTCACCTTTTCTCTGTGGTCGATAAAATGAATGTTACTTTGTGGGGAAGCCAACAGTGGTTGTCCTATGGGTAGACTGACTTCCACTATAGCAATGTGTGCCATTTTCATGGCTGGTAGGGCTGTAAACAGGATGAGTAGTGCCTCAATATTTATTTGGGCAGGGAATTGCACTTCTCGGGTGCTTGTGCAGCCCTCTGTCTAACAGAACACTGCATTGTTTGGGTATTCCAGGAGCACTGTGGGTGTGGTGCCAACATCTGTGGCAGAGGCAAGCAGAGCCATGGCTGGTGACACCTCCTTGGAAGAAAACTACGCTTTTGCGGGAATGTTTCACGTCTTCGATCAGCACACTGATGCTGGTGAGACCATCAGACCCATGGCTTGTGTGACATCTACCGTTAGATTTCAGCTGGGGCTAATTTAGCTGTGTGTGGTGGATCAAGCCTGTAATCAGCACGTTGGAAGCAATGGATTGTGACTTAAGAGATTTGTAAAACTCTCCAAGTTGGTGTTATCCCCTAATTCTAGAGTTTCTCCGGGTACTCCCAATTTCCTCACACATGCAAAGCACTTATTAAAGGATCTGACTAAACATAGCAGTGTTGAGTGCCACGGTGATGAGATGTTAACTACCTCTTCTGGTATACAGGAGGTCGTGGGTTCGATCCCGACATTTAACCAACAATAACATGTTCAACAAGAATATACTTGTCAACGTTTACTGTCCTTGAGAAACTTCATTAGTACATTTTCTGGTTCTAGTCATCCTTATAAGCACATGCTCTCGGACTCGTACAATTAACGCTCCGCTATCCATGCGCGGATTGTCTCTGTTGCGGATTAACTATGTTTGTGCAAGGTAAAATAAATCCAAAATATGGTGTTCCATGCTCATTTTGACACTGTTTCTATTAGCAGCTCCTTACACCTGACTTAGTAAACGATTACTTTAACCAGCAATTATAACAGAATAGTTCCACATTCTACTTAGGCAAACAGTCGCGGGATTTTCATAGGTTTGGCACGATCTGTGTTTTGTTTTTATCTGGGACATCACTCCCCCCATTACCCGTGGATAATCAAGAGCTGACTGTGTATACCTAGCCCACCTAACACGTCTGCTTCCCCAACAGTGCCCAAGGTACAGTTTGCGAATGACGACAAGACGCGTTTTGCAGCGTGCTCGCTGGACGGCACGGTGTCCGTGTGCGTGCTGGTGCCCGCGCCGGCCATGGTGTGTGCGCTGCGCGGGCACACGCGCGCCGTCACCGACTTCGCGTGGTCACTCTCCAACGACCTGATGGTGTCCACGTCTCTCGACGGCGCCCTGCGGCTCTGGGACACGGCAGATGGGCGCTGCCTGCGCCAGGTGCCCGACCCGGATGGCTCCGAGCTTCTGTGCTGCACCTTCCAGCCGATGAACAACAACCTCATTGTGGTGCGTTGGGGCCCGGGACGTTGCACGGCTCGTGTTTTGCGTCACGGTGTCGCGATCGTGTGTTGTGTTGCCAGTCGATCAAGTCAAATAATATCATGAGTCGGTGTAGTATTCTCGCCTTTCTTAGAATGCAAGGATGTCACATGCCACTGCTGCTGCGTAGATGCTTATAATCCACTAGATTCACACAAGGGGGACATGTTGCTATAATTATTAATCTGCAAGTCATTTTTAAAACCTGACAAATGTAGACTGTGAAGCCGGCACACATGGCCTACTCTTTTTCAAATAACGTCATGGATCTTTATCATCCGCTGTGAAGCAGACTGGGAATACTTCCTTGGTGAATACACCGTAGCATTAACTTGGATGGCTGCTGGGCTTGAGCCACAATCCTATGGAACAAGTGGCAAAGTGCTACCACTCAGTCATGTTCAGAATAGGCATGTAATAATGCATCAAATATTCAATTAAAAGTGATGCTTATGCTTTTATTTGTGATATACAGGCATACCCCGCAAAATATGCATTCCTGAAAACCAGAACGTTAACCGAAAGTACTTGAATCAAAGCATTTCCCCCTATAATATAGGTTTTTTTGGGTTAATTACACATGGTATGTGGGGCAAAAATATTAATAGAGTACACATGAAGGGGACTATAGCTAGTCAGGGACACTAACGCTTGGGCGCTTCAAGACGTCTGCCACCTGCATGTTCGCCATGTAACGTAACAAAATTTTTGGGCTTAATGGTTAAGTTCGTATATCTCGAGTGCGTTATGGCGAGGTACACGGTATGTAAAATGGGATTGGCTGTCAATAAGTTGAGTAGCGAAAGTACTTAAAGCAGGACGTAAATCAAGGTGTTACTGTATATGCTGTTGCTTTTCGGCTAGCGGCGTCAACAGAATTGTACAATGAGACGAGGCATGTAATAACGAAAAACTCGTGACAGTTTATCATATTGCTAGAGGATGAATCATTACGTGCATAATAATGTAATATAATTGCACTGAAAGTTCCTGTTAGTGACGGTACATAATTTATATTGCTGACATATCTGGGAGGCCATGACAGGTGTGGCAATGTTAGCCAATTGTAACCAATTAGACTCCGGATGCTTCTACGCATTTGCAGGTGGGGAATAGCAAGCACAACGTGCATGTGGTGAACATCTCGACGGGCAAACGGGTGAAGGGTGGAACGAGCAAGCTGACGGGGCGTGTGCTGGCATTGTCCTTTGACTCACCTGGCCGTATCCTCTGGGCTGGGGATGAGCGAGGCAGCATTTTCTCTTTTCTCTTCGACATGACCACAGGTGTGTAAGCCCTGTCGGTCAATGTGCATTCACTTTCCTGCAGCCTCGTAGTTGAGTGACTCAAAAGCACACACTCGTTGCTCTGGACGCGCAGAGCGCATCATGTGTGGCGAACACCACTGCAATGTGCCAACAGGCAGGCTCACCAAGGCCAAGCGTATGGTGGTGAACGAAGGCAGTGCCATCACCAGCATATCGGCGCGCTCATGGATCAGTCGCGAGGCACGTGACCCCTCGCTGCTTGTCAACGCCTGTGTCAACATGCTGCTTCTGTACCGGTACGCCAGCAGCATTGGTGGTAAATGTTGTTTGCAAGTTGCTGTGAAGACGCGAGCTTTCGGGGTCATGTTGCTCTGACCTCGTGTAGAAAATGCAAGAACAGCCTTGGCACAATGTGGTTTGAATAGGCTCTCAAAACAGAATCTACAGAAGGTAGTTTTAATATCCTGCACATCATTTATGGACTTAATATATCCCTGCTATTCACAAGACCTTGGGAAAGTAAGGGATGGTGTATGTATACTAAAATACTATTGGGCATGTAAAGAATGTCCCTGACTCCTACCCATTGATTCTATGACGTGTCACGAATTGGTGTAACAATTCGATTTAAGAATACATTTTTTGCATCTATTTCTAAAAAAGGTAAAATTGGTTAGAATATTGTGCATTATAAATTAACGTTGGATGTAATATTGAAGCATGTAACCTGAGGATAATTGTTAAAATGTTACATGCCTTGATTTGAAGCTTTCGTGATTGCAGGAATCCACACTCTTTGGTTCTTTCGGTAAAGTCACGTAGGTCGAAAAAATAATAATAGTTCACGACGTTTCGATCGCCACAACCAATCGTCTTCAGGTGCCTGTGTGGCGATCGAAACTTCGTGATCTATTATTTTTTTCTTCTACCTATGTGACTTTACTGAAAGAACCAAAGAGTGTTACATGCCTACATACCACAATCTCATCAGCTGCTGGTTAGCATCCTTTCTAGCTGTATATGTATTGTTATACATACAACTAGATATTCATATATTCAACATGGTAATTTAATTAACTTGTCTTAATGTCTAAAGGTAGTTTATAAATTAGGTGCATCGATGCTTGACTGAGCACTTCTAACCACAAGTCTATAAAGTGAGTTAATATTTTTTATAAAGTCAGCTATCCAAAAAGTCTTGCTAGTGTTATTCATTTACACGGATTGCATTTTTAGTTGGCAAATGTATCTTTGGAAGAAGGTTCTGCTTCCCAATGTCTCTGCTTGTGTTGTAACTCTTGGGATCTGGCATTTAGTTTTCCACTTATGACAAAAATACTTCGTTAATGCTATTAGTAATACTATTGCACACCTATCAAAAGCTGTCTACCAAAGGGTGCATTGTTACCAAACGTGAAGGATATATACAGTCTGCTTTAATAAATAACTTGTCACAAATTGGCAGCATAATATCTGACACATTGTAATGGAATTCTGCAGGGTCCTGGATAATGAAGGAGCACTACAGCTGAAGAAAACCTTCCCCATCCAGCAGAAAACACACCACATTCACAGCATCTTCTGCCCACTCATGTCTTTCCGCCAAGGAGCTTGTGTCGGTAAGCAATGTCATCATACTAAAATTACTCGTTTCAAGACAAAAAAATGTTTTTGATTGACCACCATAGCGTGCACTATTATTGAATGATACCATTTGCATGTGTGCTTCATAAAGTTCATTACACAACACACCTTAACACACCGGATGGAAATATGACGTATTTGTTCCTATCCAAGAGATTGTGTAGATGCTCACACATTATCTGCCTACATATAGACAGAGTGATGGATCCATATGAACCGACAGTTTTGGGTGAAAATTTTAGAATTATTTTTTCTACAGTGTGATGCATGTAGAATATCTGGTAGCAAAAGTATATATGAATCAAATTTGAAATAACAAATTCTTACACCATGTATTGTGAAGTATGTTGAACTTCTTTAATCGGAGGTACAAAACTAATTGTGAGTGTAAGTCAGTTTTAATAGACGAGTCATTACAAGCCTACTTCTAGGGATGTTACCGATCTTCAGATGAATAGAAAAAATAGGGCCCATATGTATGACATCACAGGAAGTGACATAGCTTCCATGATGTCACATTCGCTCTTGCCACCAACTGGTCTCGGTGACAATGTGACAACGCTTTTATTAGCATGAAAACATACAATTTTTACATGATGCAATGGATCCAACAATCTGAGATTTAACAAATCATCCCTACTCGAGTGAAATTCACATTTACATAGCCTTATCCCATAGAAAAATCTTGTTGAATTTAGTCTAGATTTGGTTACAATATATATTGTGTATTCAAAATGTTTTCAATCCATATCGTCGCCTTTGTAAAATAGGCAATGTTTCACATTTTCAATGAGTGCATTTAATCTCCTGGGTAATTAAAGGAAACGGACTTAACCACCAACATCACACACACACACATCGATATAACCCAGAATGCTTGTGGACATGTGGCCGGCAGTGTCGGGCAGCGAGGACCTGTGCGTGTACTTCTTCGACGTGGAGCGGAGCAGCAAGCCGGTCGTCAACAAGCTGCAGGGTCACTGCGCGCCCGTGCTCGATGTCAGCTTCAACTGCGACGAAAGCCTGCTGGCCTCCAGCGACGCGCAGGGCATGATCATCATTTGGAAGCGCGAGCCAAAGTACAAGACGGCCCTTGGCTGACGCCAGCAATCTGTGCCGGCCGCTGCTTATGACCGGGTTTCGAAATGGGATGACTGGCTGCTCTTGTGAACAGCATTGAGTATTAAAAACGCTTACCGCAGCATGGTGGTCGAGCCACAATCGATTGGTGGGGCTCATGTCGTGGAGGTCAAGTGTGCGTGTATTCCCATGTCTTTTAAGACGTCTGGTCAGTGCAGAAGGGTAACATCCAATACCCTTGAGAGGGACTCGTGAGGTCCTCTCCTGGAGGCCCTTCTACCAGCAGTGGCATGAGCAGGGCTGTACCTTTACTTTCTTAAACCTTTCAGTGGGTCCAATTACCATTGTAGCAGAAAGACAATTGGGATTTCCCCCCCCCCCCCCCCCCCATAAAAAAGGGGTTTAAAGAACTCGTGTAAATATTGCAAACACTAAAGGGGATTTGTTGGGGTACATTTGCTGTGATGCTATTGCAAATGTCCAATATGGTCCAGTGAGGTACAATGAGGGGAGTGCATTATCAGTATCTGTAGCTATTCTTATGACCATACGTTGTAATATCAACATTTCTGAAATGTTCCTTGTAAATGTCAATGTGCAAATGCAGATCTAAACTATTAATATATGCCTCATGTACAATGAATCTGTGTCAACGTATATGAATAAAAACATTTCAAAAGTATATTTCTTACTTAAGTCCTAACAACGCTAGACTGAATTACATGGAACTTCGAAATTCCTACTGACAGCATATACCCAGGTGGATCCGAGTCAAAGCAGTATTATTCATTGAGAGACAATATAATTCAGACGGAAAATGTGGTGATAACAACAGAAGGGTAGATGTGATGTACTCTACTTAGAAGAGATATGTGCTCGCACAAGAGATGTTGGCGAGTGGTGGTAAGTAGCCAGTCAGATGTAGATGAGACGTACTGCAGACATATGTAGCATATGTAGATAAAATGCGAGAATCAAAGGAGAGATGGAAGCTGTGTGATTAAGGGTCGTAAGAATGGTGTAAGATGTATTCATATAAGCTATAATTCAGAAATAAAGTGAATCAAGGAAAGGCAGGATATTATTTGATGCTGATAGATGCATCCAGATGGGATGAGATTTCAATTAGGTCAGACGACAAATGTATGTATTAAGAAAAGATGTGATAATGGAATCTCAGATATCCATAAAAAAGATGTATTTAGGATCGAGATCTTAAGAGATAGGAATATCTGTAATCAGAATGGAGATTTAATTTATAAGAAAAATAGGATATATCCAAAATATATAAAGTAGGGATATGAAAAGTCAATACTTGCTCAATACTACACCAAAGCCTTCATTCCTCACCAAGAAAATGGGAGATATTTAGAGATGAAACATCGCTAATAGTCTAAAATTCTGCGTAAGACTTCACCCACACCTAATCACGTAACTATGGTTACACTAGCCGGTATATTTAACTAAATCATAGCCTTGTAGTCTGGCCAACATTGCAGTGTGTTTATAAAAAAAGATCCAGCTTCAAAATTTTGTTTACTATTCAGCTGGATCCTAACTGGATCCAGATTGAAATCCAGTACAATCCCGAGTATTTCAATAGTTGTATGTAAAACCTGGTTTTGTTTAGTGGTACTGCCTGCACAGGCATGGTGGCTCAATTTTGTGACTCGCATTCACAATAGCCACCATTGCGTACATTAAAGCCATCTCCTTAATTTTCATCTCGCAAATGTAACTGTTGAACATTACAAATGGCAGTATGGTATTTTTCAATTCACCATTGTTGAGAAAAAAAACGAATCTGAAGACTCTTACTCATAAAATGTATATAAACACAAATGGGTAACAATTGTAAAACGCATTGGATCAACACTGAATGCTTCAATGTATACTACAAATATAGTTTAACGCAGTACCAACGCTTGTACAAAAAGTCGTGTTCGTTACAAGCACACTTTTAACCATTGTGAATCTAATCATATCCACAACCAAATACAAAGTGTATTTTATTTCATTTAATGTATTTACAGTTATAAATGAAATGTACACGGGGGAAAAATATTAACTGTGCAACGCTAATTTCTCCTTAAGATTTTACTTTTTCTTAGAAATGCCCATAAGCACCAATAAACTGTGGTGTTATTATTGTACAAGACTGTCTCCCATCAACCAATCTGATTATACGGCTTTTAATGTAAAGGAGTAAAACATTTTGATTGGCTATACTGGTCATGGATATGGCCCATGGCCCACAAGGTTAATTAACAAAATTATAGACCTGTTCCTTTCTGCCCTTGACCCATCTGATACAAATAGGCAAAGCCGATAAATTCAATGTATGCATTTACTGTACACGGATAAAACTATACAAATGTCCATTATGCTCATTACATGACTGCACATTCCAACAGACCTACTCTCGAATGCCATTCAATCAACTAATTACAAATATTCATTACACTTTAATGTTACTGATGACACTGGTTTGGTGCATTTGTGCATTATACAAAATGGGTGATAAGAGATATTGTAAAAGTCATCACACATCAATTCCTCAAAAGGAATATAAAATTTCTCAAAAGGGAAAAACGGTAATATCACAACTCGCAAAGTTACCAATGTAATAACATTAATATGATACAGTATTTCAAGAAAAACAAATAATTTGTGACAAAATATAACATACGAGCTGCATCGTAGATTAATATAAATGTCATGTTAAAAATGTATAAAACAGGTACCATATTCTTGGTTCTTTCGGTAAAGTCACGTAGAAGGGAAACAATACAATAAACATATAAAACAATTATTTTATTGTTTCCCTTCTACATGACTTTACCGAAAGAACCAAGAATATGAATCCCTGCAGTCACGAAAGCTTTAAATCAAAAGTTAGGTACCAGTTAAGCATGCATCACTCAACATAGCGTCAATATTAAAGTTTCACAATATACAATATAAACAATTGCATGCTGTTTTGAAAGCAAAACCTGAAACATAACTGCGTATCATTGTTTTGAAATCAAACATTGTAAAAATACACAACTGCTGTTTACTATGAAAATTATATATTTTAGGTGTGCTACACATTTCCTCCGTCATGTATAGCTATGCCATCTATATATGCAATTAAGTCCAAAGTATGCAAAATTCCAACATTTACGCAGTCAACCCAAGTTCCTTTCGTGCCCACATGAGGTTTATATATATTGTTTACAATTTAGCTCCATCATAAACAGTATATTTATAAATATTAAGTAATACATATTAAAATTATATCTGCACTGCACCAACTCGTGCAAAATTATAATATTTAGCTTTCGTGAGCTAGACAGAACAACATCCCTACATTAATGTCATTCAGAAACTACAATCGTACAAGCATTAAAGCACACATGGTCCCAGGGCTGTTTTACAAATTACTGTGATAGACAAGTGGCAGACTTCTAGTATAAACTTCCCATTAAAATTATGGCTCAGTAATTCACTTGTTTGCAGAAGATAAACGATGCTCATATAACTTTTTACGTTTGACTTTCCACTCTAAGGAATGTTTGACCTTTCAGTTACCTAAATTAAACGTCCTTTCCATGTCTGGCTTGATTCACAAGCACGTTTTCACTTTTGAAGTTCACCTGGCAGCATCTTCTGCTCATAGCACATGAATTCAATCTGTGAACAGCAGCCCATCCCAAATCAGAGGCAGGCATGGAAATTCAACCAATCAAGTTTAATTAAACCAAAACTACTTAAAACCAAGTTTTTTTTTTACCAAAGAAGGCCCACTGAGCTATGTAGCTTTTTTTTGGAAGCCACCTGGCCACAAATGATAGCTCAACAAAGTAGCGTATCACGTGGGGATGTATAGCAACCAAATACTCTAAAACACATGTTTATAAATGTGGAGGGAAAAACCAGAGGACCCGGAGAAAAATACATAACCACAGGGAGACAGACATGCAAACTCCAAATTTTCAGGCGTCAGGGTTGGAATCGAACCCATGACCTGTATACGAGGAGAGGCAGTTAACATATTGCCACCGTGCATGCAAGTAAACAGCTCCATCCCATAAATAGGTACTGCAAAGTGCTGAATAGCCTTGCATGCTGCCCTACCCTCTGAGCCAAACCCCTGCCATGTAAATGTGTATACTAGCAAGAAGTAACCGGCTTTGCCCGTGGGAAAAATATATATTTCAAAACTTGTCTTCTTTTAAAAACATAACATAAATACACAAATAATAAGGTATTGTGAAATCCCGGCATTCTGTTTGTCCATTTGTCCGTCAACAAAATTATAAGAGGCTTGCAAAAGTCCTGAATGAAAAAGTAATAGAAAGTGGGGGGTAAATAGTTGATCTAAAAGGTTTTTAAAAATTGTCGACCACCCCCAGCCAATTTTTATTTAGTAGGCATGTATACCTACACACCCTACATACAATAGTCAGTAGTATCTAGTCTAAAGTAGTATCTCCTGACTATAGTATTAACCCCTGACTATATAGTATCTACTGACCGTAGTATCTAATAACAGTATCTACTGTCTGTATAGTATCTACTGTCTAAAGTAGCATCTAGTGACTCTACAGTAGTATCTACTGACTCTCCAGTAGCATCTGGCTCTACAGTAGTATCGACTGACTCTAGTAGTATCCATAGGCGTCTGTGTCGTCTATTTACTGTCACTATCCCTATTTTCGTTTTGATCCCATCCACATTCAACAACTGCGTTTTTAAGTTGCGTCCCTTCCAACATATAATTTATTTTGTTTAGTAACATGGATAGGTCATTCGGTTCAGTGTTATTTTTGAGACCACACTTTTCCTTCACTTTTGTTAGCTTGTGTAGCTATGGCAGTTATCACCGGACCCCAACATTTTGCTTTTTCGGACCATCACTAAAATCTGTCTGCGTTCCCTTTGGTTACCAAACTCTGGGTGACACTCTAAAAACATCTTGGTTACCGCCTTCATTCTACATATATGCCCACAACTTCCTCTTTCATAGGACAAACTGCTATTGACTCCCATCAAAGTGCTAGTTATTAAATATGATGTGTGAAGTTAGGCTCAGATTTAGACAAAAAAAACGTTCCGATTGGGATAGAGCTAACAGCATCACCACGTCAGAATGGTTCCGTCAATGGTGGAGCCATTAAAAATGTCAATGATTAAATCCTGTAATGATTGCCCCAATCCCAGGTTGTAGGCTTTGTAATATTGCAGTTAGAATTTTCTGAATGTTTTTGTGAAACGAGCACGCAGAAAGACCACAATGAGGGAATGGTGTGCCACATTGTCTCACAATTTACAGGGAAATAGAACAACTGATCCTTATGGTGGTACCCCGGGGTACCAAATTACACAGAATGGCAGAGGCAAATTCAGTATTTTATTTCTAGGACACTATTTTTTCCAGGAGTGTTACTTAACTCCTCGACTGGGGTTACCGATCGATCCGAAATCGGTGGTGCTACTCCGCGATGTCGAAACGCAGCGAGGGCGATCGCGCTGAAACCCTGAACGCTCGTACGCACCGTGGTGGTGCATCGTGTACGGCTCGTCGAGATGAGTCGATTGCCGCATCGCCGACCATCAACAGACTAAACATGACTGCATCGCGGACATTGTGCGAGAGCCGGAGTTCTATAGTACCCCTGGGGGTAGCGCCATAAGGTTCAACGGTCCGATTCTGTAGTGAGGATTGAGGCATGGTGGAATGCAGTCTGCAATTAAATGGCCTTTTTATGAAAAGCCAATTACCAAATGTGTCTTAAAATTCTGAAAAACAGCCTGTTGACATCCATTAGTAATGTTTTCCCCTTGTCCCCAACTGTGACAAGCAGGATAAAAAAAATCTGATTTATATTCACTCAATTTCTGCACTCAGGCTGAACAAGTTACTTCAATGCATTTTAAAAACATGAAATAGGAGACTTCACTTTTTGATTGCAGTGTACACAGTGTAAGTGCAGATGGGCAGTTTAAGCTGGGTTAAATATGCACAACTCTTAAAATCTATAAAAACATATCAAATATGTTTTACAACCATGGCATCTAAGGGTGGTTAATAAAAACATGGGTAAAATAAAAACATCTATGAATTCAAAAATACATACACTTGAGTTGTTTTGCTTATCAGACATGGTATGATAAGCAAAACACATGACATGGTTTTGATAACTATGTTTTTTTAATGATCTGATGATCTTAAGCAAGGAACAAGTGTATTGAATGTGCTCGTGTGCGACCCAAGGTTTTGGTTTATGGTGAGAATTGAAAAGTGATTGTTGCCGGGACGAGCCTGATTCAGGCGCAAAGCGTGGAGAGCTGCTGCAACTTCTGCAGGTCAGCGGCCATCTGACGAAGGCTCCTTTTGACACGTGGCAAACGCAGCTCGAACTCCGAGCTCTGCTCACACGTCGACTCGAACATTCCTTCCAGAGCTGCAGAGGAGAACGTGAGCACAGTACGCAACATTTAAAGCGGTGTAGAATATAGAACAGTTCGTCAAATGTCACAGCACCACCTAGTGAGAAAAATAGACGATTGCAATGTTAACAAATTTCAATGACAATGGTAGCGTAAGGGGAGGACGCTATTGGGGGATATCATTAATCATATTCATCTGTGGATAGTACTCTTTTTATTGCGGATCATAGAATAATTTTTCTGCACTACCAGGCCACTTATCTATTGAAAGCCCTGAATAGTTTGACGAGTTTGGTGCTACTGGTGACTCTTCTTTTACAGATAGCCGTAAATACGAATTTGCCACCATTTCTGGATGAATTATCTTATCCGCAGAAAGCATGGGTAATGGAAAGAATCAATGGATCGATTTGGGGACTCAAACAATAACGAGTGGACTCAGATATGGCTAAGTGGTAACCGAGTTTGCGACTTGTTACAGAGGTTCGTGATCCGAGCCCTGGAGCAGCCCTGGTTAATACTCCTGATGTATTAACAGAAACAATGTCTCCTCCCTTTCACAGTGAAAGTTAGATATCCTGTGACGTTATTTGAAGACGAATCGGCCACGTGTGCCGGCGTCGCATTATAACTTTGAAAAATGTACCTAATTGAGTCACGCCACCACACAGACATTAAACTACTGCAGACTATAGTCATCTGTGAAATAAAGGGACTTCGTGACATCACTGTGCTTTGAGAATGGCACGAAAACCGACATTTACTCAAGATTTAATTTAGTGGGGGGGGGGGGGGGGGGCGGTGGGAACGTACTGGTCAGCTGCTCCTCCAGGAAGTCCATACGCTTGGCTACATCGTCTTGGAGTGCCTCCACATGCAGCAGCAGCTCAGAAAGGCACAGGTGCTGCTGTGCCACCCCTCCGGCTTGCTGATGTCCAGCTGACTTCCAGCCGGCCCCGGAGTTGGGCCCCGCTGCTCCCAGAGATGGCCCCCCTTCCTCCTCCATTCCACTCCCGGCGCCTGTCTCGACACTTGGCGTCTCATCACTGCTGCTACCTCCACCATTGTTCTTTAAACACATGCGCACACGATGACAACATTATTATCAGCAAATAACTTTTTTTACAACTGCTCTTCGTTTCAAGTGTGTTGTCCTTCCCCCGCGCCTCCGATTAACACGGTTGGCTACACACGGCGCGAAAGAAGTTCAACGTACATGTGGACGATAATGCACAAGTTGTTTTTTTGAGTTCTTGCTATCTTTTTTTAATGGTCCACACACACCAGCAAATAAACAACACGTTTAGGGCAGTTCTCATTCAGATCTGCAGGTAACCAATGTCATCCTGGCCAACAGGTCACCATCAATAGCTTACATGTACGGCAAACATTGTCAAAACGTAGTTAGTGAATTCTACTTGTAATACATTACAGAATGTGGAAAGCGGAGATGAGGTAACGTTCCCGGAATTTCAAAACAAGGCAGGAAGATGAAAAACAACCCCACTTAAACCCGTAGTAGATTGAGTTGCAACAGAAGGAACACATTCTTTACCTCGCAATTGCCTACTCCTGCAACGCTGCAGTAGGTGGCATCCAGGCCGTAGATGAAGCTGCCAGCCGTGTTGGTCCTCCCCGAGTCGGCAGCGTATGTCGTGTCAGACCCGCTGTCCCCGTCCCTCCCTGCGCACTCGCGCCACGCACGGGCGTTGGCGGCGCGCGCCGCCGCGGGCCCGGCTCCCTGCGGCTTCTGGTAGCAGTGCTCGCTGGTGATGTAAGTACTCTCGCTGGGGGACTCCGCTTTGACTTCTCTCTCCGCATCTTTTCCCGGGGGTACCTGGCAGCTGGCGACGCCGTTCACGCCTTCCAACCCCGCAAAGGGCCCATCGTTCGCGCTTGCCGAAAGGGCTGGGCACGCCTCGAGCCTGCCATCATTTCCCGGCAGGCTGATCAACTCGGTTTTGATTCGCTCCGTCCTCCACGGTGACGCCCACAGCATCAAATCTGAGCGGTCCTCAGTCCTGCGAAAATACAGGGCAAATATTACACACAATAGTGGCCAAGCAGTTCAAGGGACTCAGGTCAGTGCCAAAAGAACCAAACAAGTGCCTGAGATCCTGGGTTACATCCCTAAGTTAAAATGTAATAGTCAAGCATTCCCTTGGATAGGGTTTAAAGCCTACAAGCCAAACAATATTTGTGGCTATGAATTAAAACCGTTTTTACAAACCGAACAATGCACTTAATCTACACAATTATCTCTAGTGGGCAAGTGACTGGAATACAGAGGTTGAATGCCTGTGGTGTTAACGATTTCAAAATAAAACATTACCCTGGATCACATTTGGTGAAAACAAAATGTTACAACACGTGTATGATTTCTGCAGCAAGGCAATAGTGTAAGTTAGAAGTGTGGGATATTGAATATAAACATGTAACAAAAAAGCCAACCCCATTCAATAACGGGATTTTGGGCTTAAAAGAATAAGAACCGCGTAGAGAATGGTGCCGAAACTTTTATCAGCGCAAAATTTAGGGCGGTGGTTCTTAACCTTAACTGCAACCTTGCACCCCCGCCCCCCCAACTTTGGTTCTCAAGCATTAAAACATGTACATTAGTAAATACATAGGTTTGATGAAACAAAGCAGTAATACATATTCTTAGTTTCCCTTCAACGTGACTTTACCGAAAAAACTAAGAATATGAATTACTGCAGTCACGAAAGCTTTAAATCAAAATTTAAAGTAGTAATACTTACGTGCCAGCGTTTAATTTGTGTTTCGATGACTTACCTTCTAAAAAAATCTGGCATATCTCGCACCCCCAGGAGGTGCGCGCACGCCAGGTTAACAAACACTTATTTGGGGCTATCCAACACGGAGGGTCCAACGGGTGCGCGCTGCGCTCGCTCACTTGGCGATGTGGATCTTGAGCTTGAGGCCGTGGATGACCTCGTGCACGCGGTGCATGTCGGCCAGCAGGCGCTGCAGCGCCGCAAAGCTGGCCGCGTGGCGGCTCCAGTAGCTGTCGCGTGCGAAGGAGAAGGACTGAAGACGGCCTTCCACCAGCCAGTCGCGCTCGAACGCGAACCGTGCGCTCCAGCGCTGGCCTGCCCCGCACCGCCACCAACCCAGAGGTGTCATCGTTACGGCGGCACGGCCACACGTTGCACGAGGACGGAGGCCATTACAGCGGCGAGGCTACGTTACGAGGATAAATGGGTCGGCAGCTCTCACGCCTCGGCTCATCTCAACCATGCCAAAAGTCCTGCCACAGTCTAGCACAAGGGAACACCACAGTTGTAGCAGTCCCTCGTGTGGCCCAAGGAATGTGCAGCGCCAACCTTAAAGGGGGCATGACCGCAGTTAGGGGAAGATGTGCAATGCGCTTATTCGAAATACATGTATAGAGGTAATGTTTCAAATGTTGACCAATCACAAGGCTGTGATTACATCCTGATGGGAAACCAACGAAGGTTCATATTAATTGTAGTGTGCTGTATTCACTCCCGTAAAATGCAAATTACCTCAAGGATCGTAATGGTATAACCCAAGGTTGAGTGTTATACGGTAATTTGTAATTTATTTCCCCCCCAAAGGTTAAAGTATTTAAACTACAGTTTAACGTAGGTGCTCTAAGTCTGCAACACATTTTATAAAAATAATCAATAAAACATAATAAACAGGGTCAACAGGTGATTTAAGTGTTGCATGTGGAAAATGAGAGGGATGGAGGGGATACTCGCTAATGAAGGCGAGGGGTTATTAGTGAAGCAGGCGTGATCGAGAGATGGGTTCGAGAGGTAGACTTACCACTAATTAGCAAAGAGCAATGAAGAAGAGCCGGACTTACCCGGAGGGTCCTGGCACACATGGCATGAATATCGGTCAGGGATGTTCTCCTCGGTGAATCCCATGCAGACACTGTGCTGCCAGCAACTGCACATCTCACACTGACAAGAGAGCAGATTAGGGTCACAGCAATCTCTACCCAACACTTATAAAGTGTAATATTGTTTTACGTGTGCCTTTTCCAGATACTAGCATTGTGATGGTTGTCTTTTCACATCTCGCGGTGGCCAGATTTTAACTCCCTCACCTGGTATGCAGGAGGTCGTGGTTTTGATTCTGACCCAGATATCTGCTGTTAATTTGGAGTTTGCCTGTTCTTCCCGTGGTCGCGTGAATTTTTCTCCGGGTCCTCCGGTTTTTTCCCTCCACATTTAGAATGATGCGTTTAGATTATTTTTGCTGCTATACATGTCCACATGATAACTCACTTCGTTGAGCTATCATTTGTGGCCAGGTCGCTTCTGAAAAAAAACCTATATTTCTCAGTGGGCCTTATCTGCTAGAATAAACTAGTTACAAAAAAATGTATTTGGAGTACAGTATACCTAATTTGAATTCGCATCCATGTAATCTCATGTTTGATCCTTGTGGCAGGCAGTGACCATTAGGCCTGCGGGCATCTCCTATTTACAACTACACGCGGCGACTTCACGTCTGGTGGGTTCACCTTCAGCTAACCTTATACGAGTGTTTTTTTTTAAACGAGGGAATACCCTTAACGCTTGGTGTTGGCACCAGGATAGGTCAAAGTTTAACAAATCATTCTGGGGGGATCAAGACCAAAATTCCTATTTAAACTTCACCTCGAAGCATACAAGTCAGTTTTTTGCACCAGGCAAGCTCCCGTGTACGCTGCTCGTAGAATAAGACTCCGTCCGAGCTACTGTACAAGGCATAGCTCCTGAGCAGGGCATCTCCTAAGTAAACTTTGTTTTATGAAACATGAGTTTATACAAATCATTGTAAAAAGCGTGCTTTGAGCTGAATGCTCTCGACATGCAGCGTGCACGATTGTTAACAATGCTTGGGCCTTTTGCCCCTCCCCTGGCCATTTGCTGAGCTGAATCATATACGGCTCCGGGCTTCAACCTGATATATATTAAGTCACAGCCTTCGAGCATAATTAAGAGCAAATATGCTCATTGAGTCATGGTATATTCCAGCATCGCTATTGGTACGCTTACTAAAGAGTGCGGAACAATGTCCGCAACACCGCGATTAAAATCATATGAGGCTGATGTTGTTTTGGACGTATCGATCTCAATGCAAGCTTGGCCTGTCCATTGGGTGAGAGGCGTTTAACCGAGTGTCACCAAGGAACCTCCGCGAGTGATACCGGGAGCAACACCAAAAGGCAACTCTGCAAACTGGGGAGACGTGCAAACGGCCGTCCATCAGCACAGACGGGGCCAGAGCGGCCAGCTACAGCCATATCGGGCGATTGCGGTCCTTGTGCAGTAGCAGCAGACAGATTTCTTTGCTGACGCAAAGAAGGTATTTTCTTATTGAGAGATGAGATCTGGCCATGCTGATAGGTGTCTGCTATACTTATAACGTCACCAAATCACATCTTTCACCCTTGAATTAACCTTCTCGCTGATTGACATACTGGAGCCTCCGCTTCATACAACTCTGACACAAATATCTTGCCTATGTCACGTGTATGTGGGGCTCGTTTTTTCTTTTGTTGAATTGCTGTAACAATTGTAGTGCTGGATGTTATTCTGAGACAATGGTTGATACTTTGACACTTAGATTGGAAGTGTCTTGGTGCTGGAGTGTTACTTGTTTTTAGTTCATGTATTATGTAACTATTCTAAGGCTAGGTCTATGAACCTGAGATATGAGACATTATAATTGATAAACACATAATATACCCCTAGACCAGGGGTGGGGAACGTCCGGCCCGCGGGCCGTATAAGGCACCGCGAAATCATTTAGTCCTGGCCCTGCCAAGGCAACCGCAGGCGGGACTCGAAATTCAATAAATCTAGGAGCAAACCTGGAAAAGCAGTTGCGAGTCGCAACATCATCATCAATACCAGCTAACATCACACGCCTCACCAAAGAGAAGCAGTTCTAGCCATCGAATGTTATAAATATCCAAATGGCCCTAGGCAGAAAAAAGGTTCCCCGCCCCTGCCCTAGACAATGAGAATGATTAATTATGCTATTAATTATAAGACCTATCCACGCAACAATATGTGAGCAAATCACATGCCCTTCTGAGGGAGTGCGACACCAACAACAAGCAAACATTCTTAGTGTTAAAAACAAATCACACACACGCAGACACACACCAAAAGTTGAGGGCTATTCTGAGACAAAATGGGAGCAGATTGATATAAAACGGTGATAATTCTTCCCTCAACATTTGTGAGTAATGTATCAGAAACTATACACTTTAATGGGTGTTCTTGCTTGATTAAGCATGCAGTTCCATTACCGACTTTCAGTTCACACCTCCGATTGGCATGGTTGGCTACGTACGGTGCGAAAGAAGTTCAACATACATACCGTGTCAAACATTAAACGCAGACACAATGTGCATAGAGGCCAATTGTTTTGAAGCTGCGACATTCCCAATCGAGTTTCTGGCACCTGCCAGTAGAGCCCAACCTGGATCATGAACCCCGTCTCCTCGTTGATGCCACAGGAGCAGCGCACGATCTCATCCCCACCGGCTCCGTCCTCGTCCTGGGAGTCGTCTGCGTTCCCCGACGTCTCCTCCAGTCCCAGGCTGTCCACAGAGTCCGCCACCGAGGCACCGTCTGTGCTCTCTGCACACACACGCACGCGCGCAACGTTGGCACGGCGTGCCATGCTTGTTCCTGGTGGAAATTCTGTGCTTTCATGTACCATGTGTAGTAAGGTGTTCACAGTCGTGTTGTAGTTATTTTTTGCTTTGTTCTTTTACTTTATATAACCAAAAGAGACCAATCCTTGTTGCAACACAACACTTCCCACCCTGTCTGAAAGTGACATGAAGGGCACCTCTTCAACTATATTTTTTGCTTGTCCTACACCATGTACACACACATGCATCCATAAATGCTCATCCCCGCAATTAAGTTTATTGATTTACTTATTTAGCAGCAATTGGCCTTCAATTTATGAGTCGGACTTGGGAAAAGTACTAATTATAAGAGTTATCCATTAACTCGCTTGCTTTAATTCACATAGCAGTCCATGTTCAGCATTTATATCACAGCTCTCCGATGTGCTTTCACGTTGTACTGCGTGAATGTTGGGCACAATGTCCGACGTTTCACTTCGCTTGCTGGGCGCTTCATCAATCTGGTTCCTGAAAAAGCTCCCAGCAGGTGCCGCAAAATAATGGACATCGTGCGGAATAACACGCGGTGCGACCCAAAAACAAATTCACTGAAAGTCTGCGCGAGCTAAAATTCACTTGTTAAAACATGCTACAGAGCTGAAGCATGTGACCCATTTCCTGTACAGACAAACCATTGAGGAGTTGCCTTGGATATATGACATTTCTAGGTCAGCCATATATTATCACTCGTAGGGATGAAACACAATCCGAAATGTCATTACCTTTTCTTGTCTTTTTCTTCTTCTTCTTTTTCTTTTTTGATTTGGACACATCCTTCTCTTTCTTGTCTCTGCTTCTGTCCCTTTCTCTTCTCTTTGCTGAAACATAACGATGTATGTACGTAAGCATGCACTGTATTTCAATCAATGATACTTACTTACATTAACTGACATACAGCGATCATTTTGAAAACCATTAAAAACCTATCAATCGTAAAACACAAAACATTACAGGATACTTTTGATTTAAAGCTTTCGTGACTGCAGTAATTCATATTCTTAGTTTTTTCGGTAAAGTCACATCATTTTGTTGTTTCCCTTCAACGTGACTTTACCGAAAAAACTAAGAATATGAATTACAGGATACCTCGATGAAGAATGGTATAAGTGCCGTTTGGCAATGTTTAATTCTAGGGATACTTTTAAGACGGCTTGAATACTATTTTTGTTTTTATTCACAGCAATAGGTAAAGAGGTGAGCATTAGGAGGTGTAAAAATAGATTGCGTAGGCCTTGGCAGCACCCGCAGCCAATACTCTTAGGTATCCCCACGAGGCCTTGCAAGACAGCAACTTCTCTGGAAGGCCACCCCACGTCCAGCTGTACGTAGACAAGCGGGCTCTTCAGTCTACACTGGTGCCTATTCCAGGCCTGCTTCAGAGTAGGCACCCACACAATGAGCAGCCAAAGGGGCATCCCAACAGTTGCACCACCGACCCCAAACCTACGCCAATATCTGGCCAACGCAAGGCAGCTGCCACGCGGCTGCGTCGTTCTATCAAAGCCTGCCGTAAGTCCGGAGGCAAAAAGCAATACACACATGCAGTGGTAAGAGTTGGGAGATACCACGTGTCTGCCTGCTGTGTCTTCTCCACAGCAGAAGAGGAAGACAAAATAATACAAGATAAACAGGCAAACAACTGGCGTACATACCAAACACAGCAGGGCCAAATGAAGATAAAATAGGCGAAGGAGAGAGGGAGAGGCAAAGACCCCCCAAACTCTTTTATAGGTACAGGTTGGGTAGCCTTGCAGACAAGTCTTCTCTGTATGACCTTGTACGTTATATAGAGAATATAGCTAACAGTAACTCATCGCTGTGGGTGCTGCCAGGCTGTTCAACAATGGGGTGCCCCAACATAATGACCTTACCATCTGCAGATAGCATTTCACTTTTCAAAGATGAACTTGCATCTGAAAACCAAGAGAACAATGAGGCAATCCTATAACTGACAATCTTAGTATACGGTTATGAAAGATGTATTTAAAATGTCTGGCCTGAAAATTATCAGACATTACTTGTGTGCAATAAATTAGTGGCGTACATTTACGTTCTAATTATACAACCTGCATTTAACTCAATCACAAAATTATAAAAATATTATACAAATACGCAATCACAAAGCTTTAGAGAAATACAACCAATGCACTCTAATAATTTTTGTGCACGTTATCTGCGTGCACGATGATGTGCCTAACAGTGTAGATAGAATGCATTCCCGATGGCCGACTGTCGCTGACGTTAAGGGAGCAAAAAGCAGCGCGCGTCTGCTCTCGCTACCCACCGGCCGAGGCACCTTCTGTCCGAGTCTGGGCCCTGTCGTGGGCACTCGACTCTGAGAGCGCAGAGGGGCGGCGCCGCCTGCCCGGCGAATCGCTGGTGGCAGAAGCCGGTGAGAGGCCCCCGTCGGGTGAGGAGAGTTGACCTGGAGAGCCTGGGGGAATCAGGATTAACCCACGCGTAACTCTCGATCAGGATGTCATCCTGGCCAAAGCCGCCGACGTCACTACACCTCGCCAACACCTATCCTCCGTTAAGATTCCGCAGCTGCTGCAGAGTACTGAAGGTGACCCTAAAGGTCTGCCCTAAAAGTATCCCACCATCTGGTGTAAAAGTCTTCCCCCTCATAGACACCCAATGCAGTTGATGTGTTAACCAAGACAATGCTTTGAGAAAATTGCAATTTAAGGACTGCAGCCTGGATTTCTGTTGATGGTGACATCACATGGTGAAGGTTATATCGCACAAGTGAACGCACATATATACACACATTACACAAAGGTGCCTACATACTGTGCCAAGTATACACACACACAAAAACGCATATATAAACTCAGACACAGAAGTACAAACTTTTAAGCTATATATGCAACGATTCGAAAACAACGATGACACATCCTTGACTTTCTGTAATCCTACAATAACTTCTCCGCCCACAACATTTATGTGAATTACACAACCCTAACTTGGCCGAGGTGTGCCGAGTGCTCTAATGAGGGGGCATGTGAAGGCAGCGGCAACCTGCGTGCTGGTTCGAGCGTGGCGAGTGGGAAGAGTCGGACGAGGGGGAGGCGAGGCCGGCCGACGCCCGACTCGATCGGCGCAGACGAAGCGAGTGCTGCCTTGTGATGGCACCTGGCATCACGCCAGATGCACTCTCAACTGATAATCCTGTATTACAACATATGCAATACATGCATCCATTACAAGATGCAAGGGGCGCTTTCACCGTTAACCCAGTGTTGGATGCCAACGATAGCCACTAAACGCTGTGGATGTTCTTCGTTAATTGAAAATTTTTTTTTTTTAAAGTGCAGGAATCGCCAATCTCACCACTCGGTTGTGCGCTGTTTAGCGGAGAGGTTTCCTTGTTCTCCACAGCCTCCGATGGCCGTTCCTGCAACCACCCAAAAAGCAAAGCCATAATATACAACTATTTTTTTTTACTAACACTTTCAATTTGTCGGGACCAAATTACCCTGAACAGACCAGATCTCATCAGATGTTGGAATCTAAGCCAGGAAATGGCTGTACAGCAATATACATCTGAGGAGAGCTTTGAGTGTTATCACCTCGTATGTGTGGGTTTTCTCTGGGTACTCCAGTTTCCTCCCACAAACCATACACTCTTTGATAGAACATTCCCAACACTCACAATACAGAACCTCCTGAAAATGGGCTTAAGATGCAGTGATACTTTATTATGATTATTATTAAAATAGTATTCAAAATTACAGAAATCATATAATAGTTTAATATGAAAACACATCAATTAAATTAATGTGGCTGTAATGGTATTTTATTTGTAATTAGCATATCTACACCAACCATACTAATTGATGCAGAGACTTATTTTTTTTACCTTGGAGTCTTGGACATCTGCATCTCGGCGTCGAGAAAGTTTAGAAGCCAGAATTCCTGATAAACAACAGGTACCGACTTTAAGCCATGGTATATTCACAATGTTTATCCCAGAAATGCAATTTTAAAGGAATGTTAAGATATGAAAAATGCACTTTATACCTTAGCCAACAACACAAGACGTGCTTATTGAAACAAACTCGTCATAATTACACATTTAATGACGGAAAATAAACAATACATTTTATGCAGCAAAATAGACATGTCAATGAATCTTTCTATGTAAAAATACCAGTTGAGAGATAAACATACGTGAGCTTCTTAATGCAAAGGTAAGTAACGCCTATTGTTTGAAATAAGTCACGTGGAAATATATCAACAGAGAATGTAACTAATATAGTTGTTAAAGACTTACATCGACATGAGTCAATGCTTGTTAAGGGGGGTTAACGTAGAGCTCCCACACAGCACAGCCTACCTGTCAGCTGATTGAGCCGTGCCCTCTTTGCCTGGAAGGCTCCCATGAACGCGGACTTTCTCTTCTTTGCTGCCATAACCTTTGACTGCAGAAGGCTCGCTGCTAAAAATGCGACGACACATTTTACAAACCGGACATTGCGATAACTTACATTTTTGAATGTGCCTTAAGTTGTAAACGTGATGAAAAATGGTTTTAAACCAAAGTAAAGACTAAATTTGCAGTCTTAAGGACGAAGTACAAAACAATAACACGAACACAATGACAAATAAATACTATAAGAAGCTGATCGGCAGTAAACCTTTCTTTCCCCAGGGCATTTGTGCTTAAATTAGAGCACTGGTCGCTTTATCAGGAATGTGGATGGGTAGGAATGAACACAAGAAAAGCTTCCTTGATAAGCCGGTTCTGCCATCTCCACTGAATATACAGTACATGTGAAAATTATTTAAGTTGTATTCAACATATATAACAATTTGTAAGCAATGTACTATATCGTCCAGTAAGAAACTAAGCTGAAATAATATTACATCACACACTTACCCGTACGAACAAAGACGTTTTCATTAATTATTACCAAACATTACAAACACATCCACCTGCACGCACGCGAACACACACACTCACGACTGCTCCCAACCGGTGTGGCGTGCGACACTGCTGCTTTTGAGTCAGTGCTTGTAGCCTTAAGCATGCTGCAGTGGGGGCACGTGACGCCCAGGGAGTGAGAGCCTCACGTTGGCGAGCTTCAGCACTGCGCTGCTTCTGTGGTTGGGGCAGCGCTTTCTCGCTTCCGCTGCCTTCCTCCGCGTCGCTCCGCCTGCCCTTGCGAGCGCCCTCCTCCTCCTCCTCGACGTGGGCAGCCTGCTGCCCCGTCTGTTGGTGCACTGCCTGGTGCTCTGCCTGGTGCCCTGCCTGGTGCCCTGCACGGGCCCGGGACTTGTTCGCCGCCTGCTCCAACGCCTGTGCCTCCACGGTGCTCTTCACGATAGCTGTCCAGTCCTGAAGCCGCGGCGGTGGGGGGGTCGCAGGGACGGATGAAATTGTGTGGCTCGGTACAATTCAACACGACGTGGATGACTTTTACCCTTACTGCTTTTGCACGGATTCAATCTTTTAAAATCCAGAGCACAAACAACGATGCATTCGGTGCATATATTGTATGATAGTTAACCCCCCCCCCTCCCCGATTCTAATAACAAAGCCCAATGTAATCACAGATGTGAATTAAATGTTTTGCAGCAATGGACAACTTACGACTAACACAAGCAAAATTAATTTCACGTAAAATTACAATTAAATGCAGGCTATATTTATATGCTCATTGCAACTCCCAGTGTATTTATACTGTCAATGATTATCTTAGGCAGACTGGCATCAGTCTCCAGACACATCACTGCAGTTAGGTTGAATTATCCAATTCAATAGACAGCCAAATGTTGTGACACTGCAATCCACTAGTTGATTTACATATCATTTGCACACAATTCTGTAATGTTAATGAAAACACAGCATGGCACTAGCACTGCAATACACACACACAGTTTTTTTATCATTACCGAAATGACAAAACACAATAAAAAGTTGTGCAGCCTAAAGACATACGTGTCATATACTTCGCAAGCCTTTCGCGGCGATGTAGTAACAGCACAGTTATCAAATAACGCAGTTTCTAACACGGCACACGCAGTCGCAAACCTAAAAATACAGCAATGCAGCACCGGCACACACTGTGCTGTGTGTGCAAGGCAGGCAATATTCACCCCAGGGGACTTTAAGCAGGAGGACGAATCCAGTGGAACTGCGATTATTTAACAGGAGGGCACGCGAGCTACTCTAATCCAAATTGTTTCCACGAAGACGCGCGCCTTCTGCCGTCAAAATCCCTCTCTCGTCAAAACACGCAGCGTACAGTGCGCGCTAGGAAACACCGCGTGCTCTCGTGATTCTCCTGCAGTTACAGTACAAGGAAGACGGCAGGAGGGAGCATTTCACTCTCGTACACTGCGCGGCGCAGCAGGCTATTTAAAGGCACCGCAAAATCGCTCATGCGGCGGGGTTTTACAATGCAGCCTCGCGCGCGCGCGCTCGCTGTGCCATCCACCACAACCACCACCAACCACCTTAACGCCACGTGAAGGCACTGGCACGGAACTGGAGGATCAACAACACAACACCTTCCCTCCCCCTCCACCCGACGTCGAGACGAGGAACGGCAAACGCCGCACACGGGCTCCCTGCGATTAGTAGTCAGCTTACAGCCACCGCCCGACGGGCGAAGCGGTTTCACCAGTTTCTGTTGCTAAATAACGTATGCAACAGGATCAATAGCTCGCATTAGAGCCAAATAAGCCACAGCCCCTCCCAGAATTGGGCTTGCCAGATGCCCTTTCAAACATTAGTCATCTTATCTACCTATGATGGAAGAGAAGCGAATCTATGTTGGTGGAGTAGGGGGGGGGGGGGTTCTTCATCACAATGATGGGCTAAGTAGAGAACACTGTCGCTTTCCCAATCATCTTAATGTAACCACCAATGCGCACACTGCTGTACTGTATATAATAGATCATTGTGCTTGTCAAATATAGAAAAATATAAAAACGTTAACAATAGTTGAGATTTTTATCAAGTGGCAATGCATTCTACAGGGTGGTCCAGATGTCCTTAGGACCCCCAAATTATTTGACTCCTAACATTTTTTTCCCTTTGCTTATTAATTTGTGTTGACATCCATTGGTATACAAAGATTGAGAGAATTCAACGGGGGTCACAAGACATATGGACCACCCTGTACATTTCAATGGTATTGTTTTAAATTAAGCATTTTGTAGGTTCAAAAATCCTGTAGCTCTAAGCAAACGTTTTGCTACAGATTTGTTCACGTACGTCAAGTTACACGCAGTTACATTTCTGCAATACCATTGCACTGGGTCTGTGCATGTGTTGAGAGTGTACGAAATCAGCATGCCCTGCAAATGTTGTAAGACCTTTAGCACTCTGCTCTAGCTACAGTACATGGGGAAGAAAAAAATACCCCGCACAACTAGCAGTCACACAAGCCCACCACTAAGCGACAACACGTGAATGAGAACATTAGTCTGATTGTGTACTGTGGAAAGGAGTTTCTGCCGTAAGTATTTGCAGTTACTGTTGAATTCCAGTGCCTTAGATTGATGTGTAAAATAGGAAGTTTTCAAGATATTAATTTGAGTAGGTACTGTACTGACACAAAGAACTGAACTGCACGCTATCAGTCACCAACTTCTCCAGTTAATATATTAAAACAGGAATTATAGCAAATTGAGCTGCAAATACCAACTGTTTACTTTCTCATGAACGTTGATTCTGCTTCGATTATTTAATCAAATCAATAATTAGCTTGTTTTTATGAGAAAAAAATCCAATCCATACTGCTTGTTTTTAGAAAATTTGTATAAAATCCATGTATCGGGCTCATATCGGACACGATAAAGAAGAATATAATGCTAACACTATACGGTTACTTATAATACATGCGACATCAGATCCGAGGGGGGGGGGGGATTGGTGATGTCATCACGCATTACCAAATCATGATAGACGTGCCCTGTGGCGAGTTTCCAACATTTTGGTGACTGGGATGTCTGGTGTCTGCCATTTTCAAACGGATGCAAATGCATCGTTTTTTAAGAAGCGGTCTTTTTAATATACAATGAATCGAAGTATTCCAATAATCGTTGCAGCACTAAGACCAAATTCTGCTGGCACTTTCGGTCTGACTTAAGCACAGTGCTAAGCCACAAACCAATCAAATTCAAGAACAGTGCATATGATCAGAGTTGTCTTTTTTGTTTGCATTTTGACTACTTGTGTTGTGTTTCTTGCAAACATGATCCCTTGTATAAAGGTGTCAGTTTTTGTGCCAGATAAAAGGGTAAAAACCTATTACTGCACCGTGAAATAGTTTCGATTTAAAGCTTTCGTGACTGCAATGATTCATCTTCTTTGGTTCTTTCGGTAAAGTCAAGTAGAATGAGAATAAAATAATAAATTTTATCAGAAGAACGTGAAATAGTTATTTATTAAAGTTGATTTTTTTTTCTTCAGCTATCAGTTGCAAAACATAATTGTATTCAATTTTCTATTCAAGAAATTAAGTAACATCACATTTTCAAAGTTAATTAATATATTAATGTTCAAAGACATAATTAATGAAATGCTCAAACAGCAAAAAGCGAGTGTAATCGTGCCAAAACATTTTCAATCAGTGTCAATTGTAAGTTCATGCTTTGGTGTAGCAGTAGAAAGTGCATGGATTTTTTATTTAAACGTGTTAATTCCAAATAACAAAGTAATGGAGGCTCCATTAATATACGCATGCATCACACATCCACTAACCATTGCAATTGTACCATCCTAGACACAGTAAAAATATTATGAATGTTACAAGCAGTTTATATAAAAAAAAAACGTTGTACAGATGTTATGTATCATCAGCTTTGGAGCTATCCACTGCCTAATGAAGGCTTTCCCAAGTTTTCACCATCTTTCATGGTTTTGTGATGCAACAATCCAGATGGGCTCCTACACGAGCCAATTCATCACTCCATATCCGTGGTGGACATCCATATAGATGTTCTTTCCTTTGGCTGACACTCCATCAATCTCGACCACTGTCCTTCATCCGGTCTAGCAAAATGCCCTGCCCAAGAAAACTTACATAACAGTCATCATGAAATAATGTTTGACGTGCATATATTTTAGAATCCATTCGTTATTTTTGTGTCTCCATGTAATAGTATGGATGTGATCAAGGGTAGAGAAAGTTTTCATGAAGCCTGCTTGCTCGCATGGTTCGGTTAGCCTCTACCATGTTTTATTCTGTTACCAATGATCTTAAAAAACAATTTATATACGTGCAATATGGGACTAATGGATCTATAATTACTCAAGTCAGTTTAATAAAATGTATTGCATCAAATGATTGAGGCATCGTTCTATAATTTAGCTATTTCCTCCTGTGTAAACATTTAGTGAAAAGATCCAATAATTGTGTTCCAACATTTAATCCCAACGATCTCCACAGTTACACCATCTGCCCAGGAGATTTCATTTGTTTATACTTTGAAGGGCAGTACTTACTTGAAAGTGACATTTTGTTTGATTCCAGGCACAAATTAAGTTTTGCATTTGAGATCTGAAAACAATTCTCTACAGATTTCAAGATTAAATATTTATCAAGTGTTATGGTTCCATCCTTCTTCAAGGGCTACGGATTGTAAATTGCTCGAGAAACCTCCTTTTGTCTGCTTTCTGTGGCATCTTTAAGTTACTTTTGTGTTGTGTTCTCCAATGTATTTTCTCATTCCTTTCCTAAGCTTTCCATAAGAGTTGTGTATTCAACGTTTTGTACAGCGTGTCCATTTCTTTGCACCTCTTTTGTTCCTCAATGTGCCTTTTGTGGTTCCAAATAAATTGTTTAACCCTTCCATCCACTTTTATTGAACTATCAATTACCAGCCTTGTCACTTCATTGTTTAAAGTGGTAATGTCTATTTTACCATTTTCCTTCTCTAGGCATTTCTTAGAGTTAAATTGATATTGAAGCGCCACTCGCATCACACCAGGATGTGATCACTGCATATGTTGATGAGACTTCAGACAATTCAGGGTTTGTCCATAAGAATAATAACAATTAAAAATGTATAAGCTGTGCTTGTCCTTGTACATTTGCAAAATTAATAATTTATGCAAAAGGCTGTGAACTGTAATAGATGATCAACTATAATTCTTCACTCCAATGCTAATGATGCTAACCTTACTATTTATCTTATCATCTCATCTTTACCTACTTTTCCAAGTCACCAATTGTAATATTTTAATGCATTTTACCCCCATTTCGGAGTTTATGTATTCATTCATAACTTTGGTCAACCTTCATAATCATAGCATTTGTGAGAACATATTTGAATGTCAGGAAAACCTCTTCAATTGCGGATTTTTCTTTAGCAAATTTCGACTGTTCGCGAATTTATATCTGTATATCAGTTTATAATTTTCGTGTCTTTTTTCCTTGGACCATTCGCGATTTGGCAACATCGCATCATGACGGAGGGCTACTGTACTTGCCACGATCCACACGCCGAAGATTTTACTCTTCAAGTGCCTGTTTGCCTTTTGTGCTATTTTTGCATTATTTGCATTGCTTTTTGTTATTTCGATCATGGGAACTAAGCATCAAGTGAGTGGAGTTCGTGAGAGCAAGAGACTAAGGCATAACACGAAAGTTAGGAGTCTGGCTCAAAAAGTAGGGCTTTTAGATAAACTTGCTCGGGTTGACAATGCGTCTGCTGTTGACCGCTATTTATACGCTAAACAAATCAACAGTCAGATATTTAAAGAAAAATGACAAGGCAATTATGGAAAGTGCGGCGGCAAGTGCACCGACGACTGCCCAAGTAGTATCATCACACCCCCATTGTCGTTCAAGGTGAAAAAAAAACTTCCAATTTTTACAGCACAATTTATTGATGTGTTTTTTTTATCTAATTGTATTATAGTACAATGTGTACAGTAAGGGATTAATGTTATGAATATTTTAATGTTCTCCTGTACGTTCGGTTAGACATGGAAGCCTAACCCCATTTTTTTCCATATAAACAAAGTACAGTGGTACCTTGGTATACGTCGTTAATACTGGTAGTAGGAAACGTAGTGGACTGGAAGCCCAACCGGGATTAATTCACAGGAGGCAGGGGATTAATTATGTATGTCTGTGGATGTCTGTCCACGTGTATCCAGACACCCGGATAAAATGGGAGGGGTGGGGCTGGGTGGAGAGGGAAGGGTGGGGAGGGGCTGGGTGGGGGGGGAGGGGCTGGGTGGGGGGTGGGGCTGGGTGGGGGGTGGGAGGGGTGGGGGGTGGGAGGGGTGGGGCTGAGTGGGGAGGGGCTGGTCACCCCGTGGTGCCCTTATAAAACTCAACGTTTAACCTACTCACGCTGGCTTGTGCCCGCCCTCACAGTCGGGCATATTTGCAGAATGCACCACGCCGCCGTTGACCCTGGCTTTTGACCGAGCAACCCAAAGTTCCTACCAGCTCCCTCCGCAGGAATGTGTTTAGTTCCAGAAGGCAGGACTTATACCGAAAATGACGTATACCAAACGAATTCTTCCCACAAGAAATAAAGGGAAAGGAAATAAACCGTTCCAGAGTATAAGAAATTATATTTTATATGGCATATTATACATTAATGGGGTTGTATAAAATAATGTAGACACTACTTATTACTAAAAATGCACACAAACATTAAAATAAATGCATGTGAAAATTCACAGAGCGTTATAGCAAGGGTTGTGCACTGAACGAGATCTACTGTGCAGGCAGACTGATGAGCAGCGCTTTGTCTCAGTCGTGAACGGGGTCTACGCGGGTACGCGGTGACTCATCCCGACCCGTACAAGTTCTAGCAAGCGCGTCGTATCCCAAGCAAGACGTCGTATCGCAAGACATGTTTTTCTCGTCAAAACACGACGTGTACCAAATTCGACGTATTTCAAAGCGGCCGTATACCGAGGTATGACTGTATATACATTCGCGAATTCTACTTTTGCACATATTTTCAAGAACCAAACCCTAGCAGATGTCGAGGCCTTTACTATATATATTTAAATCATCTATACCTTGCAGAGTTGCAAAAGCCTTATGTTAACTGAGATACTCTATCCAATGTACTCTTGAAACCTAAATCTCTATGTAATGTACTTTTATATAAGCGTACAACTTGATCTGTGATGAACGCTGCACTTTCCGTCGTTTTCATGCAGGGGGCGCTGTAAACCTACACGCCCCCTGCATGAACGACGGAGGCGCAGGGACAAGACGTTCGATTAAGTTGGAATCGATCTGCAGACGGCGGTCTTCTCGCACGGCCAGCCCTGTGTCGCCTAATCTCGATCCCGCAATCCCAAAAAGGCGAAAGTCCGCATCGAACCTAACCCCCAGCAAGGCCATCTACTTAACGACGAGAGAAAATTCACACGAAATGTCGTTTTCAATTAAGTCTTCTATATGGTAAATGATATAAGCTTTTAATGAATAAATACAATTATCTAATTCAAAACATAATACAATTCAAAGATGTTTAATTTTAAAACTTCAAAACGGAGCATCGGGTGCTTGGGCGAATGCGTCGTTCATGTGCAATTATTTTCATGACTTTTCTGGCCGAAGGCCGTAAAACGCTTGTGAGGGGTTGTCACAGGCACCCCGAACAACCCCTAGTTATATATAATTGTAAACCTTTTAGGCATAAATTTCATAAGCTATGGGTTTTTCAGTATCATTTGAAACAATAAAAAAATACTCAGACAAATTCATACATTAATCATTGTAAAAACAAAGCGATGCATACCTGGTTTTTCAGATCCTCTGGCATCTCTTTCACATTTATGCTTTTCACGTCTTTCACAAAGCCATCATAAAATCGCACACTGTAAGTATCTGAAACAAAAACATAATTAGAATTTTTTCTACCTACGTGACTTTACAGAGAGTATGGATTCCTGCAGTCACGAAAGCTTCAAATCAAGATTGCTTAAACTTTTTCTATAGATATCTGCATAGCATACAACAACTTTGGCTCGAGATACAAAATGTAACAATTGATAATTTCAACACAATTTCAATTCAACATTATAATTTCAAGTTTATTTACATGTAATTTTGTCATGGAACTATTTTAAATTTCCGATCTATTTTTTTATTGAAAACCATATGCAAACATTTTTGAAAATGTTCTCTTTATACAGGTGATGTGATTGTCTTACCTTCTTTGTTGATCGTGATGATTTTCGCTGGGTAGTATCTGCAGTCAATCCACCTAGCCAGCACCTCATCCCCAACCTTAAATGGCTAAAACATCAAAATACACAAATCGAAACATTTGCACCCAAATCGAGGTGTTTTTTGTTATTCAGTATATAAATGTACTGTATATTAAAAGTTAAACTCATACACATAAAATGCAATACAATTCAACAAGCAAAACAATCCACTGGTTTACAAGCATGCAAATAACTTGATTTTTTTTGCATGTAAAGTAACTCTGTACGTCAACGTCATAGCCAGGCAGGTACGTACCACTGCCCCAACAGCTGGCTCCTCCTGCTTAAGGCCTTCGCGACGGAGCGAGGTTCGCTGTAGCGGTCTCAGCCGCGGGCTGTTGCAGTCAATCCACTCATCGTAACGGTGGTTCCAACGCTCAAAGTGGATCAAAATCTTACCCTCATCTGGGTCTACTTTCTCAATGCGGGAAGGGTACCTGTTGATATCAGGGGTTCGACAGTGTTAGACGGAATTCTGTACACCACGGAGAGCTTTCTATTGCTCTTCAATGTTTCTGAGTTAAATCCATGTGTTGTTTGGCATCTGAATTAATTTGAACTGAAAAAAAGCTGATGGTATACAAAAATTTCGATTTAAAGCTTTCGTGACTGCAGGGATTCATATTTTTGGTTCTTTCGGTAAAGTCACGTAGAAGGGAAATAATAAAAATAAAACAATAAAATTATGTTTTATGTTTATTATTTCCCTTCTACGTGACTTTACCGAAAGAACCAAGCAAAGGTATACAAAAACTCCCAACATGTGGAGTGAAACGTCAAACACATTGCAGAGCGATACAGTATAACTGTTGAAACTTATGCAGTAGTACCAGTAATGCTAAATTAGCAATCACAGATTTCTGTACTGAGATACTGATGTTTAGTTACCAACAATACCATTATTGCATATCACAACCTGGAGTTGAAGAACTGTGGGGGTGGTGATATAGTGTACAGGAGTGATTTGACACGGAATGCTGGAGCATACTCACCACTTAAGCAGATAGTCTTGGGCCTCCAGCCTTGCCCCCACCTCATAAGCTATTCCCAACCGATGGGGCAATTTCTTGTTGTATTTCTCACTGATCTTGTCCCCCATCTTCCCCATCTTGTCTGCTTCCTGGCCAGCATAGACATAAGGCCAGAATACACAATTTAATAAAACTCCTAGTGGGGAAATGTGTATAAGGCTACACAGTAGTGTATTACCACATTATCCCATTGTGGTTTAGCTTTTCATTTTGTCCAGTCTTCTCTTGAGAGGACATTTCGGTATCAAACCTTGTGTCAGATTGCAGCCTAATATTAGCATACACCTGATAACGAGTAAACAAGGTAATATGAACTGTAGTAGACATTTTAAATATGTATCGGCTAACATGTGCTAATCCATTATATCACTCTGATGACAAGGGACACGACTCTACTAAGGACGTGGACACCTTTGTATTTTGATGATACACAAAACTGATTGTTTAATTATTATTTTTATAACAACCCGAACGTGGTAATGAAGTGCAATTACTGTTATTGGTTTGGTTTATGGTCTCAGGCTGCGCGGCTGTGATAAGCAGGGATGTGTCACGTGTTTCCTCGTTGCATGTTTTGACTTCGTGGTTTGTGGCACCATGCGTTCAAGACGAGTGAACTCCTGGCGTGCACGTGTGTTAACCCTAGCGGCGTTAGTGTGATCAGCTTGTAACACGAGTGCCATCATTCCAACTGAATAGTCACGATGGATGAATCGGATTATACAGTCCGCAGGCTGTCTAAATATAACAAACGCATGAAAGGCATTTTATTTCACAATGAAACCGAAATGCTGTCCCAATTTATGTTAATACAGGAAATTAGGCTACAGGTTGCTAGATCCCTTCCACCAAGAAAATTTGCATTAGTACATGGTGCGTGTGACGAAAAGTTGGGCGCTTTCGGCCTTAAGGCACTGCCAGTTTTTGGATTATGTAATACAACAATAGCCTATGTATCTCAAAGTCGTCGTACTCAAAGTGCAGTGGTTTCCCTTCAATCTCCTGTTTACAGCCCTGAGCCAGTGGTGGAAGTTCCACATTCACAAGGCCGGGTAAAGGTTGTCCGCGTACACAAGCCACTGCCAAACAACCCGCAGGGAAAATAGTAAGCAGCCAAAGGCGAAATTAAATTTGTAAGTGGCGAATTACTGCAGCTGTAATACATTTCCCTAAAAGGTTGCGCATAATACGGCTATTTCAATAACAGAAAGACGTCTTCATTGTAATTGCGATACGCATATAAACTTAATGATGTTGCAATCGGTTGTGAACCAAGTTTCCAAAACAAGTCTAACGTATCTTCTTTGGATTCTTTCGGTAAAGTCACGTAGAATGCGAATAAAATAATAAAATAAAACAATGAAATTCTCACGACGTTTCGGCCACAACACAAGTAGCCGTCCTCAGGTGAAGAAACGGTACTGTCCAGAAGACAGCGCTTGAGTGGCCGAAACGTCGTGAGAATTTCATTGTTTTATTTTATTATTTTATTCTCATTCTACGTGGTGACTTTACCGAAAGACCCAAAGAAGATGAATCCTTGCAGTCACGAAAGCTTTAAATCGAAATTTAAGTCTAACGTTTTTTTTTACATTTTCGCAGCATTCCTGATGCGATTGTATCTGGGGCTCTCATAACTAATGTCTGTGCCACACAGATATGTTTGACACAATGTACTGCAAGTGATTTATTTGTAGGCAAGGCGACTCGGATTTCATTTCACGGTGCAATCACACGGACAACAAAAAAACCCCCGCCGAAATAACGAACGGAATTTAGGGAGAGAAATAAAACCACACACACGGCACCTGCCGACTAGAAAAGGCTTACTCCCCATCCCGCTTGTTGCAATGTTTAAATATTTCACAAACCAACCGCTTGATTAAGTCCTCCCCAGAACGCGGAGTTTGCCTGGCCATACTTCACCACGCTGGTCAGTGCGCATCCGTGAATAGGAGTCGGGGAAGACCCAGAGCACGGTTCGATCGTCACCCTCCACTGAAGTTGACCGTGCCCGAGAATTTCTCTCGGCGTCGTTTTCGAGGTAGTGCGCTCACAACCACCACCGCAAAGCCACCACGTGTTTTACATCATCCCAACGTCCGATAAACACTTACATTTCAAATAAACCACACACACACACAACATTGGACACCGCGCCGCGAATCATTGCGCATCCGTGATAGCCTTGCGCTGTAAGAATGGCACGAATAGAAAGAAAAAAAAAACCCGTTGTTTAATGTTTAACAGTTCAGTGTTGTTTTCCTACGACGGTACATCGGAACCGGTCCAGGGAGCTGCCCCTCACCAACCCCGCAGTGGCAAGCGTTGATCCGAGTCTGAATCGAACAGCCCTGACGACGGGCGGACACAGTGCAAGTTGTCCCGACCTCCACATCGGAACAAATTGGCGAGTTAAAAGCCGCTACAAACTAATCTCAAACTTCCAACAGCGGCGGCTGACGCGCCAAACGTTCGAGCTGCTGCACTCCTGCAGCCACGCACGGCGCCGAACCCAAAAACAAAACAAAACTGACTGCCCCTCCCCCCGCCGCTTCTCTCACCTCCACGCTCGCCATGCCCGAGCTGTGCGCGAGGGAGTTGAGCAGAAGCAACAAGGGCGAGTCGAAGGAACACGGACGGGATCACCTGGAAACAACAACAAAAAAACTCGAGACGCGGCCCGGGCCCTCCAGGCCGCAGCCTCGGTCTTGTCTAGCCAGCCCCGGCAGCGGGGGGGGGGCGATGGTCCCCGCGTGAAATCGGGGGTGGGGTGAAGGCGAGCTCAGCAGCCTCGTGTCCAAAAAAAGCGTGCGTCTCGTCGCTCTTCTTTCTTGCATTGAATTGCGACGTGACGTGTGAACAATAAAATTAAAAAAGGGGGGGGGGGGAGCGCTCCGACGACTTTGTACGCGTTTAAGTTGCTAACGTTGCCGCGAAAAACCCGCGAAGGTAAATAAGGCGCGTGGAGCCCCGACTAGCGGGGGGCAACGCAACAACTACTCCGCCGGCACCACGTGACCGCGAGGAGCGCGAGACCACGACCTCGGTGCGAGCGACGAGGGCGAGCGCGCCCCAACACCGCGCGTTAGAAGCGGGGACGTCGAGTCGCCCCGACAGATGCCGGCGATCGCCTCTGTCTGGCGCGCCGTAATACACCGCACACGCACCACCACCACCACCACAACAACAACAAAGACAAAGCTCCCCCGTGTAGCCTGTAACAGACTGTAGGGGCAAGTGCTGTTAGCGAGCAGCACCTATGAAGGCCGGAACGGCACACGAGGGGGTGGGTGGCCAGCAGTGGCGATGTTTTTACACACCACGCCAGCTGCTCATTTTGCGGCTGAGTCGACCTAGGGGAGGCCCATGACCGGTTCAGAAAAATCTTCGCTGGTGGTGTTGGCCGTGAGCGGGAATCGAACCCGGGTGACCGGGTTCGTAGCGCTAACCGCTGTACCACCGCTCCCCGCATACCACACCGCAACGCACGCACAAGCCGGACACGTTGACCGCTCGCCTTCCGTGTATTTAATTTCATTTCGCAGAGCCGCTATTGTCCCACGGAAGCCAGCCAGCCAGCGGTGGCAGCGGCCGTGGGAGGTATTGAATTTCGCTTGCGTGATCGGTTCGGTCACTTGGTGAAGTGGCTTGTGTTTTGGTGTCGATGTGGATCAGAGCCGCTGAGTTTTTGGCGACGTTGATATTAGATCTGGTTCTCAAAGTTAGTGATTCGCTCGCTCACTCCGCAGGCAAGTAAGGACGGCAAAGCCACGCGACGAGGCGGCGTCAACGATTGCTTGAGCTCTGACGTCCTATATATGGCAAGATGTTACCGGCCAATTCATTGGTGTTATCATGGGAGAGGAAAGCTGAGCACCCGGAGAAAACCCACATACGGAGTAGATAGAGTCAACATTTAGCTGTACCCTACTGCATTATCCTGGGAGGCACTGGATGGGAATTTCGCGACATTTGTACCTCGACATTTGTACCTCGTGTCTGTTCACTCTGTCTATGCTGGTGTGTTCAACCCAGAGGATGAACACGAAATTTAGCACTCCTCTGAAATTCGTGGTCCGCCAGGCAAGTGTCTGTGTTGTTGGCCGACTGGTTGTGCATCACGTAAATGTTTTCTTAGGTTTGTTGAATTCTCGTCTCTCATCTTCTTGTTGCATTTACCTCCGTGTAAGTTTAACGCTCTCTATGTGTCGCCTTGATGTCACCCCTACGTGCTCCCTCGCTATTTGTTTTTTTTTGTTACACCTGATGAAGATCGCTTGTGTTGCGGTCGAAACGTCGTGATTTATTTTAATAATAATTTTATTGTATTTCTACATACGTGACTTTACCGGAAAAAAAAACAACGAGTAATTTATGCAGTCGCGAAAGCTTTAATTCTTTATTTATGCGATCCACCAATCCAGCCTATGCCCCACCACTCCCACTGAAACGACACGCAACATCGTCTCTTCGCAAGGACGCCCCTGGGTAATTGAGTTAGTGAGTTGATGGTCTCGTGCCAGTCGACAATGACCTCGCAAAAGGGCTGCCCGCACTGCTGTGCGGATCAGAGGTTACTTTACGGGATGTCAATAGGGACAGCAGTTTTGTGGTATCTACTTCCGTGGACCATTCCCTAACACGAAGGGTTGCAATGCTTTGGTGCCGTCCATAAATGACGTCACGCGATTTTTGACCCCCCCCCGCCTTCTTCGTCACACGGCGTCACAAAAAGTCAGACCCCTCCTAAAATATGACGTCACAAAGCTCTGCCCCCCCCCCCCCAAATATATATAAAACATGCTTCAAATCGCTTTAAACTATTGTCATTGTAGTGCGTATTTAATGTGGCGCTGCACTTTATTAAAAAGTATATTTAATTAAGTAGAACGTGTTGTTTGTATTTATTTAAAGTTGCGCATTTTGATGTGACGTCACATTTATCACCCCCCCCCCCGTCACATATCGTCACAAATGCCTGACCCCCCCCCCCCAGGTGCGTGACGTCATTTATGGACGGCCCCTTTGCGGGATATCCGAGTGGATGTTTAGTTTATCATACGATAACCTGATGTAGATAGCACATAACAGATGTTTGTTTGGGTTAGATAGTGTAAATATAAATGCGTCGTTAAACCCGCCACCACCCGACACAGCTAATCAGTAACGTTTGCAACGTAAACAAAGCATGCCAATTCGTTACTAGTACAGCACACCGGTGTGTTGGAGAGTAAACCCATAACATTTAAAATGTAACGACACATTTATATTATGCGATCTAACCCAAAAAAACCTCTATTTATGGATAAGCCTACGTGTTAGTTGGAAAGTACGTGAAGGAGCAATATCATGTCCTGCCGAAAACAATTTACTTTAACTTTGAATGATGTTATTAACCGCCGTAAATTATCTAAATCACGTGTTCATATTTATTTATCAGTGTAATCGCAACTACGGTATACATATAACATGAAAATGTTTTGCATGCATTGCATTCTTGTTAACAAATAAACGTGGAAATGCCACTACTTCGAGTGAAATCAGCCAATTGTGTTGAATCAGGCAGTCCCGCCCTCTAAAACTAATTTTCCATTGCATAGAGTAACAGATGGGTAATGTTTCATGTAAACAAATGCCGTTTCATTCTTTTCAGAGCAGTGCTATCTTTATTTTCAGCCTATTCCATTCAAAGGTGTTATTTTATTCAATGGTAGTGATTTATTCGTGTCATAATTTGTCTTTTAATCTTGGACAGTGGGATTCTTATGATTGTTATGTGTTTATATTATATTATTTGGCTGCAGTCGATTTGCACGTGATAAGCCACTTCGTTGAGCAATCATTTGTGGCCAGGTCGCTTCTGAAAAAGAAGCTAATACTGTTATTCAGTGGGCTTTACATGATACATTAAAAATATATCTTAGTTTTATGTGACTTGCTTGCCATTTTCTCTGTTTTTCACTCCATTTTTTTGTATTTGTTGTTGTAACTCCCTTACCCGCCCTACTGGACATGTCTGAAAAAGAGCATCATAGGTAATCGGATTCCTCCAATACAAAGATTCTGATTTAATTGTTACTTTCACCTCTCAAAGAGGACCCCCCCACCGCCTGATTTCACAATGCAGCGAAGCTTATGGGCATCCCTAAACCGCATCGGCACAACCGTGCCAGCAGTTGCAGGTACCAGATGCACAATGCGTGGTGACTGTAGTCACCCAGAACAAAACCCTAGAAACTTAACGCGACTCAACGCCTGATTCACAAATATGAAGGAGGCATCGTTGTCATCGCAGCAGCAATACACTCCACTCCTCCTGACGCGAATATCTGCCAATCACAATGTAAAGTGGGGCGCCACGGTGGCGAGATGTTAACTACCTCGCCTGGTATACAGGAAGCCGTGATATTCTTGGTTATTTCGGTAAAGTCACGTAGAAGGGAAACAATAACAATAAAAATATAAAACGCAAGCGGCGTTGTGGCCGAAACGTCGTAAGAATTTTATTGTGTTATTTTATTATTTTATTCTCATTCTACGTGACTTTACCGAAAGAACCAAAGAAGATTAATCATTGCAGTCACGAAAGCTTTAAATCGAAATAGTTGTGTTTGTTTGGGTGATTTGTTTATCACGTAGGCTTTCGCAACCAATGTTATCCATAAGAGTTTTTTTTTGTGTTAGGTCGCGTCAATATGAATGCGTCGTTAAACCCGTAACGATTTGGCACGTTCTGTTTACGTGACAAACCTCACTAATTTGCTGTGTCGGGTGGTGGCGGGTTTAACGACACATTTATATTTACGCGATCTAACCAAACAAAACCTCTATTTCGGGTGATTTGTTAACCTTTCTTGTAGTATAACACGTGGGCTTTCGCGACCAATATAATTCAAAATTAAGGTTTTTGGGTTAGATCGCGCAAGTATAAAGGTGTGGTGGGTGGTGGTGGTGGGTAGTGGGTGGTGGTGGGTGAGGGTGGTGGTGGGTGGTGGTCGGTGGTGGGTAGTGGGTGGTGGATGGTGGTGGGTGGTGGTTGGTGGGTGGTTGTGGTGGGTGAGGGTGGTGGTGGGTGAGGGTGGTGGTGGGTGAGGGTGGTGGTGGGTGGGTGGTGGTGGGTGGTGGTGGGTAGTTGGGGGTGGTGGGTGGACGGTGGGTGGGGGAGGGAAGAAAACAAAAAAGAGCTTTACAGCTCATCGGATTCCTCCAGTATATAGTCTAAATAAAAATTCCCCCCCCACCCCACCCCTACAAATTATAATTTCCACAACCAAGAGACGTGGGAGTTGGTGGCTCCCCCTACAGGACGGCGTGGGAGGTGCCTCCCCCCCCCCCACCGCCAACAGCCAATAGGAACACGCGTGCCGGTGATGTCGCGCGCGCGCATGTCCGGAAGTCGTGACCACGTGGAGCCCGCGGCTAAAAGCAACGCGGGGCCTCTTTTGTGGTGGTGGTGTCGGCGGCTCCCTCCTCGCCAAGCGAAGTTAAGCGCCCGAGACGCCCGCAAACCACAGCTGTTACAGGTACAGCGATTCGTTAACCACTCGTCGTGTGCGGCAGCCGGACGAAGGACATCGCACACGCGTCGTGCGTACGGCGTTTGCGGTTGGGTTGGGTGCGGCGTGTTGGGTTGAAACGGCTTGCTGCTGTAAAGCTGCATGCTATAGAGGGTCGCGCTAATTGCATCGCGTTCACGGCTGTTGTTAGAGAGAGAGAGGGGTTTTTTGTAATCTATCACGTTGAGATTGAAATGAGGACGGTGTTTAATTGAACCCGTGCTGTGGCGCTAATTGTGTTTCGTGCTGAAGGGCTGACGTGAGGTTGTGGGGCTTTACTGAGCTTAGAGCAGTGTCTGTGTAGTCATTGAACGTTAAATTTGGTTGAAGCAAACAGTGCAGATTCCGAAGCCTGGTTTTGAACCGGATTCTTTTGTTCCGGTTTAAAATAACTTGCTTCGGGCAATATTTTATACAAATGCATGCCTTTTGTTGCAAAATCACACGCCTATAACTCAATGAACCAAAGAGGGTATCCCTTAAAATATTTACCGGTACAACAACAAAAAAAGCTACAGCGAGGATGTTACAGTGAGTGCTGTACTCCACTTAATTTTTCCTGGGAACGATTGGAGGAACCGTGGAAGCATTCGAATGTGTTTAGTAATCCTGCATGGTAAATGCTTTGACGTTTGATTTTCCAGCACACGAACACAACTGCAATGTTAACCTCTGCGCAATTAGCAGCTTATGTGCGTCGTAATGTGAAGACGTTTGATTTAAATCTCAAGACGCCAATGTGGTGAGACTTGCACGCCGTGGGGAACAGGCAAGTTACGATTTGATTTACAGCAGGTACTGTGTATCGGAGTGGGTTAACGATTAAATAATACCGTACCGTGTTTTCGCCGTCCCCATTCTATTGAGTATTGTATTATTATTTTTATTTGTACAGTTCTGTTCGCCTGAACGTAACAGTGGCGCACGATGCGCCTGTAAAACTTGACTGGCACGCGTGGGTTTTAAATTCACCACGTTCCGAAGTAGGACGCAATTCAAGTGTGTGTGTGTGTGCTGACGCGTAACTTAATATTTCCACTAAAAAAATGTAAACGTTTGTGAAACAAACAAACAAACAAAAAAAATCTCCTAATGATGATCTCCGATTCCAGGTTGCAACAATGCCAAAAAGGTCCACTGCGAAAAATGCCAGGGCATTTGGCAAACCGAAAAAAAAACAAAGATGACAATTCCTGCACAGCCAAGAAGGTCAAGGCGGTGGTGGAGAGCGGTGGCCAGCAGCAGCAACAGGAGGCCGACGTGACGGGCATCCTGGACTTCTCATCTCCCGACCGACTCTTCTCCAGCTTGATCGCTCCCGTCAGCACGTCTGACTTTTTCCAGCAGCACTGGGAGCGCGGCCCATTGGTGCTGCACCGCTCGGACGCCCGTTATGCCAGCTGCTACTCGCGACTCTTCCGCCTGCAGGACCTGGAGGACATCTGTACGCGTCGCAACGTGGCCTACGGCGAGGACATCAACCTGTGCCGTTACGTGAAGGAGACGCGGCATTCGCTGAACAAGAGCGGCCGCGCCACCTACCCGAAGCTCCAGAAGGACTTCGAGCAGAACAAGTTCACCTTCCAGTTCCATCAGCCGCAGCGCTTCAAGGCAGGTTGCATGGCCAAGTTGATTCATCCGTTTAACGCGTAGACTTTCGCGAGCAATATCGTCCGTAGTGCAGGTCTTTTTGGGGTTGGATCATCGATTTAAAGCTTTCGTGACTGCAAGGATTCATCTTCTTTGGTTCTTTCGGTAAAGACTGCCCTCCAGACAGTCTCGTCCCTTCACCTGATGAAGGCCGCTTGTGTTGTGGCCGAAACGTCGTGAGAATATTATTGTGTTATTTTATTTTATCAATTTATTATTTTATTCTCATTCTACGTGACTTTACCGAAAGGACCAAAGAATATGAATGTGTCGTTAAACCCGCCACCATCCGACACAGCCAATTAGTAAGGTTTGTCACCTAAAAACAGAACGTGCCAATTCGTTACTAGTACGGCACACCGGTGTGTTGGAGAGCAAATCCACCACATTTTGTCACTTAAATGGTGCTCCACTCCAACTTGCCCATTTGCGGCTGTTTATCCAGAAACACGGCGTGTTTCTGAGTACAAGTAATACCTCGATACGCAAAGTAGATGCGTTCCTGGAGCTTCGTTCGTGTGTATTGAAACTTCGTATACAGTGAAACCTTGGATTGCGAGCATGATTCGTTCCGGAAGCGTGCTCGTAATCCAAAGCACTCGTATATCAAAGCGAATTTCCCCATAAGAAATATTGGAAACTCGGATGATTCGTTCCAAAACCCCAAAAATACTGTATTCACATAAAAATGATTAATACAAAATACATTTTTATTATTTACATTTAATATAAAGTAATCAAATTTATTAATTACATTTAATCGTGGCTGGTGTGAGGGAGAGGAGGAGGGTTATTGTGTAGGACGACTTTCACTTGCAGGACAGTTACTAAAGAACAGTCACTACACTTGGACACAAAATAAAAAAATGCTTTACGTACACACACGTGGTCACAACACTATACTGTAGTAAACAGTATACACGTGGTCACAACACTATAGTACTGTAGTATACAGTGCACACGTGGTCACAACACTATAGTACTGTAGTAAACAGTATACACGTGGTCACAACACTATAGTACTGTAGTAAACAGTATACACGTGGTCATAACACTATACTGTAATAAACAGTATACACGTGGTCATAACACTATACTGTAGTAAACAGTATACACGTGGTCACAACAATATACTGTAGTAAACAGTATACACGTGGTCACAACACTATAGTACTGTAGTAAACAGTATATACGTGGTCACAACACTAGTACTGTAGTAAACAGTATACACGTGGTCACAACACTAGTACTGTAGTATACAGTACACACGTGGTCACAACACTATAGTACTGTAGTAAACAGTACACACGTGGTCACAACACTATAGTACTGTAGTAAACAGTATACACGTGGTCACAACACTATAGTACTGTAGTAAACAGTATACACGTGGTCACAACACTAGTACTGTAGTAAACAGTATACACGTGGTCACAACACTAGTACTGTAGTATACAGTGCACACGTGGTCACAACACTATAGTACTGTAGTAAACAGTATACACGTAGTCACAACACTATATTACTGTCTGTCGTAAACAGTATACACGTGGTCATAACACTATAGTACTGTAGTATACAGTGCACACGTGGTCACAACACTATAGTACTGTAGTAAACAGTATACACGTGGTCACAACACTATAGTACTGTAGTAAACAGTATACACGTGGTCACAACAATATACTGTAGTAAACAGTATACACGTGGTCACAACAATATACTGTAGTAAACAGTATACACGTGGTCACAACACTATAGTAATGTAGTAAACAGTATATACGTGGTCACAACACTAGTACTGTAGTAAACAGTATACACGTGGTCACAACACTATAGTACTGTAGTATACAGTGCACACGTGGTCACAACACCTATAGTACTGTAGTAAACAGTATACACGTAGTCACAACACTATATTACTGTCTGTCGTAAACAGTATACACGTGGTCACAACACTATACTGTAGTAAACAGTATACACGTGGTCACAACAATATACTGTAGTAAACAGTATACATGTGGTCACAACACTATAGTACTATAGTAAACAGTATACGCTCACACGGATGTTGACTATGCGAGTGAGGTACGCCGACTGAGACCGAGCATGGGAGATGATTACCCACAATCCCGCAGCGAGAGGGAGAGAAGAACCATTGGCTCAGTTGTGATCACGTGATGCTCGGCAGACAAAGCGTTATACTGTACGTACTGCTCGTATTGCAAGACATCGCTCGTTTATCAAATTATTATTTATTTAACAATTTTGCTCGTCTTGCAAATAACTCGCAGACCAAGTTACTCGCAATCCAAGGTTTCACTGTATTCAAGTTTAGGTTTCAAGTTTCATGTATTAGATATAGCCCTGTGAGCCATGCGGCTCTTGAGTCGGGTGCAACCGCAACGAACTAAATATGAAGAGAGAAACATCTTAAAGCGACGACGCGCAACAGAAACATCCTGGGATAAACCAGCAAATCTTCCAGAAAAAAAAACCCACCGTATTACAACGCTGTGTGCAAAAATCCCAGTGTGATGCACGACAAACACTAACAGCCATAAGACATCTTATTGGTTCTTTCGGTAAAGTCACGCAGAAGGGAAACAATAAAAATAAAACACAATAAAATAAAATTCTCACGACGTCTCGGCCACAACACAAGCAGCCCTCCCCAGGCGAAGAAACGGAACGGTCGGAAAGACAGCGCCCCAATGAACACCGCCAAGCCCGGCACCGCGCTATGCGGATGCGTTCCCAGCCTTCGTAGCTCACCATTTAATACTATCAACACTTAATAACTCACCATTGGTATTGTAAGTAAAGACAATTTCTATTTAATACAATAATTTAATTTGGACGTATTAAAAAAACTGACACTTAAAAGAAATAGTGTACTATCCATATCTTATGATTTTATTCGAATGAATAGAGTTTCTTAGATTGAGAATACGTTTTCCCCTTTTTAGCTGGCACCAAAACAGGTGTTAAGTTGTTAAAACACCAAACTGAAACCTTTTACAAGTAATCATGTCTGCTTTAACTACAATACTTGTGGTCAGAATGCATCGTCTTTGGCGTCCTCTGGTCTAACACCGTTTGAGACGAGACTCAAAAGAAAGCCGTCTCTGGTGTGGACCAATCAGTTTCAAAGACAATGCATTTATTATCAGAGTGTTTTTTTTGCATTTTTACCACAAGTATTGTGGTTAATGCAGACATGTTTCTTTGTTAAAGGTTTCAGTTTGGTGTTTCAACAACTTAACACCTGTTTTGGTGGCAGATGAAAGGGGATAAACTTATTCTCATATTTTGGTCCTGGCAAAGGAGGTCCCATGATATCTTGGATTGGTAAAAACATTTATTACTTCAGTGTATTTGTTATTTTACTTATTTTTTAATTTTCCAGTGTAAAATAATGATAATGAATCCAAAGTTCGTTAAATGGAAACTTCGTTTATGGAATATACTCATATCGAGGTATTACTATACTGATACTAATAACTCGCACTCTCGAGTCAAGGGTCGGTTGATGGTGCAGATTTGTGAGATGGCGAGGAAATTACATTTAAAAAAATTGGTTCGTGAACCCATCCGTGTGTTAACCTTTTAGTGTTATAACCGCACGTGGGATTTCTATGGGATTTTAACTTTCCTCCAGCAATTTTAATTGTGTAATTTGTAATTACACAATTGTAATCGACTCCAGGCCTGTTGAGATGCGATCGCATTACCTCTGCATACGTCCAAAGTGTCTCGCGATTCTGGCTGGTATTGGTGGTTGATTACAGCTGAAGAATCCCACTGAAGCGTATTACCTTGGTATCACCCATACCTTTCAATGACAATGCCACAAGATCAACCAGATCCCACACGCCACTTCCTCGCTTGCCTGACTGCCACGCAGTTTGCACCCCCCCCCCCCCGTTCCCCCGGCACAATTCCATTATTCTACCGATCCCATTAGGAATGGCATTCAGTGCCAATAGTGGAAGTTGTGGTAGTGAATCCCTTGCGATGTGTGTGCACATGTAGGATGATCTGTGGCAGATCCAGGAGAAGCTCGAGAGTTTCTTCGGCGCCCTCGTGGGCTCCAACGTGTACGTGACACCGCCAGGAAGCCAGGGGCTGGCTCCTCATCACGACGATGTGGAGGTGAGACCGTCAACAGATGAGAATCACGTCCACCGACAACGTGAAGCGTGAGTTTACCGCACAGAGATGAATGTTCTGTAGCTTAGAATGTGTGAAGAACACATCAGCTGGCTCGTGTCAGGTACAAGCGGAGGTGTAGCCACTCGATTTCTTGCTTATGTCACTGTTGGGAGGGAGGAGATAGGCCTCCACTGGAGGAAGCCATAGCCCCTGTTGCTTCTCTTCCACACTGGCCAGATGTCTTGGAAGAGATGGGAGTAGCCACACTTTCATCTTCTTGGTTCTTTCGGTAAAGTCGCGTAGAATGGAAATAAAATAATAAAAATAAAACATAAAATAAAATTCTCACGACGTTTTGGCCACAACACAAGTAGCCTTCTTCAGGTGAAGGAACAGAACTGTCGGGACGACAGCGCTTCAATGAACACTGCTAAGCTTCGCAGCGTCTTTTACGCTGGGTGGGAGGAGCAGAGCGCCTTGACAAAGGAGTTTACATGTCAACAGAAGCAGTTGGTATTACCTTAGAGTCGTGGCATCTCTTTAGAAAGGTGAGAGACTCGATTAGCTGAGCCTTCTTATCCCGGAGTTTGTCGAAGGATCTCCCCACCACACGAGCTGCTGAACTAGAGTGACGAACCCTTCAATACTCTTGGGTGAACAGGCGGTGGGATTTAAGAACCTTTCTGGTTATCTTTATTGCCGCACTGGGAGATCAAGCTGCCGACTTCTGGATTGCAAGTCCAGCCTGCTGATAGTTACACCATGGCAGTATCATCTCACAATATTAATGGGTCTTAATAACTTATAAATCAAATAACTTTTGTCCAAAAAATGTAATGTAAGGGTTGTTGAATTCTTACTCGGGATGGATTTAGAAATTTAAGTCTTAATTTTAGTCCAAGCTTTAAAGATAAAAATTCAACGTTAAAAAAAATCTGTCGTGCGTATGTATGTTGAACTTCATCCGCACCGTACATAGCCAACCATGCAAATCGGAGTTGCGGGGGAAGGACGATATATTATTTCCATTTGAGGTTTCTGCAGCCTTGATTAAAACTCATTTAAGATGTATTAGGGGTTGACTGCGTGTGTGAATTGAACACCAGCTGTTGGTCAAGTCACTTTCTTACCCAGTCTCTGTAAACCACAAAGGCAAACAACGAATCGGCATTGGGATTGTAACAGGATGGTAAATGTTAGCAGTGAGGGCAGCTGTATTGCTCACAGATTACGATCTAAACAAACTGTTTGTTGCCGATCAGGCGGCTTGTGCAGCAGCAGCAGCAGTAGGTCTGCGCAGCAGTGTCACGCACTGCACCAGCAGCAGAAGGCTAGTTGATGAAACCTTAACTGGCATCCAAGCTTCCCGTACGTACTTCAGTCTGGTGTTGTCATGCTTGGCGCAGCTGCAGTCTTTGTTGCTGCTACACGTGCCGCCTGGTCTACAGCGAGCGATTGTACAGTCATAATTGGTGAGCATTACAGCTGGACTCATTGGTAAGATTCGTCAACATGCTATATAATACCCACTCCTAATTTTTTGCTTACCTTTGTGGTCTACGGAGGCCGGGTTAGAAGGAGTGCGACTTCCGCACCTACGATTAGCACGGTTGGCTACGTATGGTGCGAAAGAAGTTCAACATACATTCATGGTTCTTTCCGTAAAGTCACGTAGGAAAATAAAAAGTAATTAAATTAAAGAAAAACAAAAAGGAAAACTAAATTAAATCTCGAACGTTTGGGAGGCAACACAAGCTTCCTTCATCAGGCGTAAAAAGCACAGCAAAATTACTGTAGAGAGAGCTGTTTGTGATGAGAGATTAATTATATAGGGTAAGAGGTGGTGAAGTCACACACGCAATCAACCCTAAATGACGTTTAAATATGCATTTCGATATATATATCTCTTTGAAACTCTGTGTTCTTTAGGTTTTTATTCTGCAGCTGGAAGGAGAGAAGCACTGGCGTCTCTATACTCCGCTGGTGCCACTCGCCAAAGCGTACAGCCCAGACCTGAGCCAAGTCGCAATTGGTCCTCCGACACATGAATTCACTCTGCGGGTAAGACAAATCATAAGCGCCAACGCAATGCAACATATCGATTAATGCATGAATAATAGTTTTCTTTTCGCTGTCGTGGTTTGGGCCATGGCGCAGTGGTTAAAGCACTGCGCTATGAGCTGGGTCACCTGAATTCAATTCCCTGCCATGGCTACCGTCTGGCTAGCGATCTCTGAACCGGTGCTAGGATCTCCTCTCTATTGCACTGACAAACGTGGTGAAGTATGGTCAAAATACCCCCTTGGCCAACGAGGCATGGGGAGGTCTTTATCCGGCAATGGTTGACAAAAGGACTGGAACTTATAGTTTTCATTACTGTCATGAACAAATATTGCCATTATAAATTCGTTGTAATATTATCCTTGAGGCGTTTAAACATGGGGCAACTCAGTATTTCCAGGGGTTACCCTCGGGCACTTCAGAGTAAATCCTTGCCATTATTAAGATTTACTATGCACTGTGAAGTTTGGCCTTAATTGTCTTAGGTTCATACTCCGAACCCCTACGTCGCAGCGCGAAGCAACGTTGTGCACCTCTCACTCGGAGCCTGCTGTGTTTCCAGGCCGGAGATTTGCTGTACTTCCCTCGGGGCACGATCCACCAGGCGGATACACCAGCAGGCGGCTGCCACTCCACGCACCTCACCATCAGCACCTACCAGAACAAGTGGGTCTTGTCTTGCCCTGATAAGCGTGCACATGTGTATGTATGTTGGACTTCTTTTGCACCGTACGTAGCCAACCGTGCTAATCCGAGGATAACAAACTGGACAGGTGGGGGCTGCCCACATTTTCTTTTATACCACCACCAGCAATCCTCATGCAAACCCAATGCAGTGTTAGTTGGATTCTTTGACATCTCATTCTCTGCTGCTGCTGCTGTTACCACAGTTGACAGTACAACCGTCTGTACTGTCAACTCCTGCTCCTGTTCAGGTCCACGCTCAAGACCTTCCTGTGCTTTCCGCTTATGATTTCCTCAAAATCGGTACCCTTGCCATGTATTTATAGTCAGATTTCTATTCTCTATACATACAAATTGTAATGTATCCAAATTAGAAGATGCTCTCTTTGCCCCCTGTATTTTAAAGCAAATGTTGAGAGTGAATTTCATAATCCGATAGGTGCGCGTGTATGCGTACGCGTGTCACCAGATTTGTATAACTTTGTTGACACTGGGCACAGGTTTATGGTGCATTTTACCTTACGGAAGCACCTTATATAATCCAATTTAATGTGGCACTAAGGTGGCCGGACAAGGTGCTTGGCCACACGTGGTGCGTCATGTTAACCTTATCAGGTGCTCCCCAACGGACCTCGCTCTTTGGGTTTATCAGACTAATTTGTGATAGGGGTATGTCTGTGTGTATGTATGTAGGGGTATGTCTCTGTATGTGCTGGGACATGTCTGTGAGTTGCAGTTGCCCTCCAGCAACAACAGAGGGCAGAGGAACATGTGGAGCGCCGGGCAGCTAAAACGCAGAGAGCTGGCACTGTGGGGAGCACAATTGGTGCACCTGGGTCTGTGCCGTGACCTCCTGCCAGCGGGCCTTAGACACCTTACGTGGCCCCAAAGTGTACCTAGCATGGCACAAGCGCTGCGGTGACATTACCTCCAGTTAATGGCGAATGGCAGTTGTTGTCTACGTGTGTGTAGGGGTATGTCAGTGGGGGGCAGTAGTGCACTGCGCTACAAACCCGGCGACCCGAGTTCGATTCCCGCTCTCGGCCAACACCAGTGACGATTATCTGAACCGGTCCTGGGCCTCCCCTAGGTCGACTCGGCCTCAAATGAGTACCTGGTGTGGTGTGCGAACATCACCACAGGGGAGACAATGGCGGCTGGGGGTTGTGTGGGCCACCGGCCCCCTCGTGTGCCGTGCCGGCATTCATAGTTGCTCGCAAACAGCACTTGCCCCAACAGTTGGTTCAGGCTAGACGGAGGCTCTTTGTCTGCGTGTGTATAGGGGTATGTCTTTGTGTAAGGCTATGTCTGCGTGCGTCTAACGTCTGCCCGGATGTGACTGTTGTCTTTGACCGAACAGCACATGGGGAGACCTCCTGCTGGACACTCTGCCGGCCCTCGTGACCGAGGCCTCGCGGGCCGAGATTTCGTTCCGTCGCGGCCTGCCACGCCGCTTACTGACGGTGAGAAGAGCCTCCTTTTTGATAATTGTTTTTTTTGTATACTTGGAAAATTGGCCATTGTTAAAGAAGAAGAAGAATAGGCCCCTGGGGATGTGAAAAAGAGCAATTTCAATGTTGAAGAGCCTGCTGGATGTGTTTACTAATTTTTTTTCTTATTAAGCGGACTTACATTTGCATGGTTCACAATGGGGAAATGAAACCACATGCTTTTTTCTCAAACGCAATTTGAAGTTGATGCAGTCAGTCTGGTAAAATGAGTGTTGAGAATTATATATGCATTGGTTATACAATTTAAGTTGTAGATTGCTGTCAATTATACACTTTATAACCAATTTGGAATTTGCTTCTCCGTCAATTTGCTTTGTAGAATTTTAAAATTACATGGGGAAAATGTTATTTGTTAAAATAACTTGCACTGACTTGGTCATGTGGAACGAAAATCACCTGACATCCCTGTCCAGTATTGTCGTCGGTGTGATACTGGCTGAGATGCCTAACGTTGCTGAACACAATCACATGTTGCTGTTTTCTTAAAGCTACACAGAAACAAATATTTCTCCAGTCGTCATTTGCAAGTAATCACTGGCACTATTCCCGCACCTCCGAATAGCACGGTTGGCTACGTACGGTGCGAAAGAAGTTCACCACATATATACGACGAGGAAGAGAATAGCATGATGTCACACCTGTCCCGTAATTTAAACACGACACACTTAAGCTTTACACGGTACCAGTGAATTGATATTAATTTTGAGAAGATCTCATCAAAAACCAATTCCTTTATCTGGGAACCATGTGGGGAACCATTGTCCGTATCATTATGGAGATCTGCAATACAATTTGACCACACTGAGGAAAACAAACTTTAAAAAAAATACATATAACCACTTTGGTCTTACTTTTCTACACACGGCAGGCGGTGCAATTGAATGTAACAATGTGCATTACCCAGAATTTAGTTTTATGGCAACATTTTTGTCGCGAACCCTCCACCACCTGACAAGATTGTCACATTCACGCAGCTATTTATATTTGCCGATGTATTGATCAATTTCTGACCAATGAATCTCCTCAGCGGCGATTTGAAACTTGCCATGACTGAATTCAATATCGGCCGTGACAATGTATGCATGCATGCATGTAGAACTTCTTTCGCAACGTACAGAGCCAACCGTGCGAATTGGAGGTGCGGGGGAACGGCAACAAACTAAACACAAAAAGCAGTTCTGAAGAAATTATTTTTCAACCTTGTCGGGTGGTGGAGGGTTAACAACAAGAATTGTGCCATCAAACTACCACGTACATGGCCCGACCTAAAACGCACGAACATGGATCGTGGGATTAGCTATGAAAACCTGCCTTTTATGTTCATGTGCGTGCATTCGCCGTTCCAGGGAAGTGGCAGCGAGGAGTCGGGCAGCAGCGAGAGAATCGCCGAGCTGCTGGGGACGCTGTCGAGGCGGATGTTGGGCTCTCGCAGTCTGCAGGCGCACAGCATGAAACGCGACTTCGTGGCAAACCGCCTTCCGCCCTTTCACCCGCCTGACTGCCAACCGGGCAGCCCTGGTCAGTGCTAGATTGGGGGGGAGGGGGGGAGGCCAAGACCCGGGGACACTGTTGGGTGGAAAAAAAACCCTCCCAAGCTGCCGCCTGTTGCCCAGCACGATGTCACCAACTTTTCATCCCACGTGCAGGGAACTTCAGGAACTGAAGAAGCTCCCCGGCACGTGGAATGAAAGGTCGCCATGGTGACGAGATGTTGATTGCCTCGCCTTGGTATACACAAGGAGGTTGTCGGTTCGATCCAGACCCTGACGCCTGTGTAATTTGCGTGTTCTCCCCGTGGTCGCGTGGATTTTTCTCCGGGTCCTCCGGTTTTTCCTTCCACATTTATAAATGTGCGTTGAGAGTATTTGGCTGCTCTTAATGTCCACGTGATGAGCCACTTCGTTGAGCTACCATTTGCGGCCAGGTCGCTTCTGAAAAAAAACTACAATATATCGCTCGGTGGGCCTTCGTGAAATAAAAAGTTTAGTTTAGTCGAAACGTTGGATATCGTGCCGAACAACGCGAGATGCTACCTGAAAACACAGCGGAGAGTTATACGTTGTCTGTCAAAGTCTCAAAAGCTTCAGCCATGCAGTTGATAGCATGGGGGAAATGCTTTGGAGCAGCAGTCACTGTTGCTCGTTATCTGTTCAATCGATCTGGAGTCACACAAGTGTGAAGGGAGTGTGGAGAGCTAAATAGCACAGCCCTCTGCACTGCTAGACTTGGCTCAACTTTAATGGTGCATTATGGTAGAAAAATGGCATTTATGTTTGCTCAACCATGTCGTGCAGGGGTTAAATCCATTTGAAAACAGTATTTGTAAGACCGATGGACCAAATTATGTATCAACAATAATTATACTGCAGTTCAATTCACTGCCGGTGATGGCCTTTCTAACCCCATGCTGCCATTTATGGGGGGATGGAAGGGAACTGTTGTTTGACCATACCTCACCATGATGGTCCTCGTGGGTTGGTCATTCAGAGCCCATAACCACTTCAAATATCACACGCAAACTGATGTTAGCCATCAGCGGGAATTAAACTCGGGCCACCAGGTGGACAGTGCAGTGTGCTGAATACCGCGCCATCTTACATTGTTGGAATGTTCATTGTTGGTGAATGTGAAATGGCGGTGATTTGCCAGGGTACTTAATTTGCAGTCGAGCGCACGGAATTATTTACAGGGGTATTTCACAGCAACAAGACTTTTGTGGCCTTTGGATGGTCATTTCCATTATTTGCTGAAAGCAAATATATTTTTATTTTCTTAGCTCTTTCGGTAAAGTCACGTTGAAGGGAAACAATAAAATATATATTGTTATATATTTTATTATTTTATTGTTTTCCTTCAACGTGACTTTACCGAAAGGGCTAAGAATATGAATTACTGCAGTCACGAAAGCTTTAAATCAAAATATGTTTTTGTAAAAGGTGAGAGTGCAGCCCTGCAATGTCTCTTGCTCGTGCGGCTGCTGGCAGAAGGGCCCATCGGTTGGGTCTTTTTGGTAGCTTCCTTGTAGAAAGATGCATTTAACTGGTGCGTGTGTGGGGGGGGGGGGGGTGGGGGGGGGTAAACCTCTGACGTTTGGTTCCGATTTGTTTTTTGTGAATCCACGTTCATCCTGAAGCTGTCGGCGCCGCGAGCGAACTGGCTTGCTCCTCTCGGGTTTAACGCTTTCTTTGCAGTTGGGCCTATCCCCAAGTTGCAGCACTGGGTGAGGATGCTGCATGCAGACCACATGGCCTTAGTAGTCGACAAGCCGCCGCGCGAGGAGGTGGGAGCATGCACTTGTGTACGGGCGCGTCCATGACATCCGCTTCAACAGTTTGTTCACGCAGCAGGTTTGAGAAAATAATAATAATAATTATTATTATTAAGTATTACTACACTGGAAAGGAAATTGATCAAATGTTTCGATGTGCCCCAAACACCTGTTAAACCTGTGGCAGGGTGAAGAGGTCTGCGAGGTGGTATTTGTTTACCACTCGCTCCTCAACTCGAGGGAGAGGCACATGATGGGATCACCAACGGAGGAGGTGGAAGAGGTGATCATTGTGAATGTGTGTGCATGCTCGTTGACACAAATGGGTGCCTCGTGTATTTTTATCCCTGCTGGCTTTGACGAGTCGCACATCGGACACAAACATTCGGGTAGCGACCCAAGGTTAAACTGGGAACTCGAGTTGATCGTCTAAACCTGGTTATCTATGGCCACAGAGAAAAGCTGCATTAAAATATATATTTTCTTTGTACTTATGCTTATTCTAGCTCTTGGAGAATTTTAAAAAATGGCGTTTGGCATGCAACAAACGTTATGGGCAAACAGTGGTGGTACGTCTAACATCTGGCAGTTCACTAGCATTGAGTCTATCAAGCCTGACTGCCGATGAGAACACTGTACATTGAAACTGGCCCAGAGTTTTTAATGAACGCTGCTGAAATAATTCGCTCCCAGAAGGGCTTGTGGTCGTGTAAAAAAAATAATATATTATTTTCATGTAGAGGGTCATATATACGAAGGATACATTATCTGCTTATTTATTTTGTCATTCATATTCTCCACAACACTCCTGAATATTAGTTGTATGTCAGAAGATTGTATTTGTAGACCGGTACAGAAAAGGACTTGCACCATGCACAAAAACTACACTGGGTGTTGGCGGTTAATTGTTAATTTGTCAGGGGCGGATTTGCGATGTACTTTTTCTCAGAAGGCCCGTGTTTGTGTGCGCGCACGTGTGTTTGGTCCCCCGTGCAGGTGCGTGGGCTGCGTCTGGCCCTAGTTCACCTGCCCGCGCTGCGCCAGCTGATGACGGGGGCGACCGTGCGTGTCAGGGAACTGCCGCTCGCAGGCGACGCCGAGCGCGAGCAACTCGTCCTCTCGCTCTGGTCCGATGGGCTCTTGGTGGCGAGCCCCAACGAGGCTTGAGATTTGCGCAGAATGTCAAACGTCGGTCGGTCGTTACACGCAGGAGGAGGAAACGCTGCCGACCTCCGTTAGTGCGTTTTGGCAGTGCTGTGAACATGCGGCGTGCCCCCCCTGAAAGTCCATTATTTGCCGTCTGAGCACAGGGGTGCGAGACGGATGCTGGAATTTCGCAGCAAGACACGGGATAAGCGAGTGTTGAACGCCAGAAGAGAACGTGGCAGATAAGTGTTGTAGATATGATCTGGTAAAAACAGTTGCGCTTGGAGGGGGACTTATGCAGGGCGGTGGAGGGGGAGGTGACTGAGATGACATTGGAGTGGTCTCCACGAGTCTACCATCAGATGTTGGGGAGACTGTTAGGGGCAGGTCTTGGAGGTCACATGTCTACTCTGCAGCGGCTGCAGGATCTGATCAAAGATAGAAAGCATTGGTGATGTGGCTTTGGCCACGATTGTCCTCTTGGTCTTGTGACACTGTATGGTTGACTGGTTTATTGAGTTTTCTATATTGCAGCTGTAACAATACTTTGTTCCCCTGTACTACTCCACATCCCGCATAAATAGCCACTGAATTAGGGATGCACCTGCTCATTCACTTAGCTGAGCAGGTTAACACAACGTTTACAGTGTTTGTCGTGCCGAATTTAAACATCGTCCACGGCCCAAATGTGTTTTATTTATTTTCTGATATTGTCTAATGAAGATAATAGGTCAGAAAGTTAACAAGCGTGAAAAAAAGGAAGGCTTCTAATGAATTGTGAATGCTGGTGGTGCTGTCATTGATATTAAAAAGAAAAACTTTTACCAAAGAACTGTGGAGAATTTGACAGCAGTCGTGGTTCAAGGAGAATAATAACGCTGCACATTCGCAACAGACATGACAAAAGCGGTTAGCACACGTGTCCAGTATGCAGACAGCTCAAAGAATCTAAACTCGTTTTCCCAACGACAGACATTGACAACAAACTGAATAAATATTTGTGAGTCAGTGGTGTTCGCAATATAGAATTTAAATTGATTGTCAAAACTTTGCAATGAATATACAATTGCACATGTGTTGTGTAACACAAAACATTTGAAATGGCGGTTTTCACCATTAAACGCTTTTATTTTGTGTGACATCCACAGTCGTGAAATCTATCCGTGGACATTCTTTAGTTTGACTTGGAGCCCATCTTCATTCCACTGATGGATGAAGAACTCCCTGCACTGTTTATTGTGGGGGTTATGTTGGCCTCTGTGGGTTGGTGAAGTGGGGGAGGGAGATCCTAGGCCTTGTTTCGATATCACCACACTTGGCCATGGCTGGATGCAGTGCGCTTGATTTGGTTATAGTTGTCCCCCCATACGTCCGATTAGCACGGTTGGCTACGTACGGTGCAAAAGAAGTTCAACATACATGCTTCGTGTGCCCAATCGATTGTATTTAATGAATCAACGTGTCACTGTTTAGAACACTTCACATGTTTATAGCACTTCAAACAGGGTCACAATACAATCTATGCAGTGGTGGATCCAAGAGAATGGGGTGGGGGGGGGGGTAATCGCCCCACCTCCAATTGAGACCTGAACATTTGAGTTAAATTGGTATTTTCTAAAGAAAAAATATTTTTGTGTGTATATAGTATTCACTCGTCCACGAAGTTGCTGTCCGCCATTTTGGCTATCCGCGAATCGCATCTGGAACTCTACACGACTGCATCGAGAGAGAAAGAAGTGACATTCAGTGATGAGAGAGAAAAAATATGTATTTTAGGTAATTCATGAAGAAAGATAGGTTTTAGTAGGCCAACATCCACAAAATGTGCTGTTCACGAGCATCTCCGGAATGTATCCCTCGCAACAACGAGGGAATACTGTAGAGACCTTTAAAAAAAAAGCTTCCCCGGCAAGTTTATAGGTCAGGGGTTGGCAACCAAATAGCCATTTTTTTCGAATTCTGTAAAAAAAACGCAATCTTTTCAGAGTCGCCAATGCATGTGAATAACATCACGTAGCAGCAGTCCTTAAGAGCCGCAGGTCACCGGCCAGACCCTCCCACCCCTTGCTCTAGATCAGGGGTGGGGAATGTCCGGCGCGAAATCATTTGGTCTCTGGCCCTGCAAAGGCAACCGCAGGCGGGACTCGAAATTCAATAAATCTCGGGAGAAAACCTGGAAAAGCAGTTGCGAGTAGCAACATCGTCGATGCCAGCTAACATCACCACACGCCTCACCAAAGAGAAGCAGTTCCAGCCATCACATTAGGGGTGAGTGAATTAAATGTTTGACCAAATATAACGGGGCTAATTTTTAAGTTGATAATTTTGTATGGCCCGCGAATGATGTTATAGATATCCAAATGGACCTTGGCAGAAAAAAAAAGGTTCCCCACCCCCTGCTCGAGATCCTCCCACCTCCGAATCCAGTGATTGTCCATGGGACCCAACCGGTGACCTCAATGCCCGAGAGTCGCCGCACCGCCGGTGGGCTCCGCGTGACCGCCGTACGGGCTGCCCAGCAGCCTCGCCACCTTGAGTCGCGACACGGCGCTCTGCACGCTCACAAGTCGGCGCGCCAGCTGCTGGTCCTGCACCCGCATCTCCACCTGCGTGGCCGCACACCAAGTTACACGCGCGGTCTCGCACAAACTCCCCGCAGTCAACCGGGGAGTTTGTGTGTGTGTGTTTTTTTAAATTCTTATCGTCGTGGGATCGGGGAAAAGGCGACCAAGATGTGTTTCCAGCTTTGTGGCTGAATCGGTTTGGTGTTTTCCTGGCAGTTCAGACTCGAAAGACGCCGGGTGGGACGGTCGATCGCCTAACATTTGTAATCAACTGCTTATATATATATTTTTTTTGTTGTAGATGTCACCTGCCACTAATTTGAACCGTGAGCAGGAATAAATCGCTGGTCACTGGACTTGCAGCGCAAATCCGTCAGCCAACCCCAAGCTGCACCCTTTAGTGCTGTCGAAAACTTTGCCAAATAAGTGTCGTTTATCTTCTTTGGTTCTTTCGGTAAAGTCACGTAGAATGAGAATAAAATAATAAATTGATAAAATAAAATAACAATAAAATTCTCACAGTGAGAATTTGAGAATTTTATTGTTATTTTTTATTGTGTTATTTTATTTGATCAATTTATTATTTTATTCTCATTCTACGTGACTTTACCGAAAGACCCAAAGAAGATGAATCCTTGCAGTCACGAAAGCTTTAAATCGAAATTTTAAGTGTCGTTTAGTGTTGTTGTCCACCCCCCCGCCCGCCCGCCCGCCCGCCCGTCGCACCTCCGACTAGCACGGTTGGCTACGTACGGTGCGAAAGAAGTTCAGCGTACATAAACCACCAAGGTGCGAAACCGTGTGCAATCGAAATCCCCGTGTCCCGTGTCACAAACCCATGCACGCCGCCACGCACCAGCTGCCTCCGTAGCCACGTGAGCGTGGGTCCAAATTCGCCTCCGCGCCACTGCCCCACGCGCGTCCCCCTCGACTCGCCGCCTCCGTTCCCCTTGGCCTCGAGCGCGGCGCCGGCCCGGGGGCTCGGCACGGCCCCCGCCTGCAGAGCCCGAGGCGGGCCACGGGTGGCCGAGCGAGCGGCCAGCGCCCGGTGAGCGGCGCTGGCTGGGGGCTCCTGCGCCTCGACGAGAGACAGCCACTCGAGGTAGGAGGGCCTCCGCGTCCGCAGGCGCATCTTCTCGGCGACCACCTTGAGGCAGCGCAGGTGGTCGCGGTCGGCGTCCTCCTGCCCTTCCTCGTCCACCCAGGGGATGAGCTCCTTCTCCAGGACGCCACCGGTGGCGTCTCCACCCCAGCCGGGAGGATCACCCGACGCGTCGACCTCCACCTCCTCCGCCTGGTGGACGGTCAACGTTGGATCCATGGAATCGACGACTTGAGACGGGAGCGCGGAGGTTGGGGGGGGGGGGGAGCGCTCGCAGCAACGGCTTCGGTGGTCTCAAGGTCACGGCTGTTCCTGCGAGGCCAGGAATTGGAGCGGCCCAATTGTTATTTGCTTCCGTACAGTCGTGCGGTGCTTGAGAGATAACGAGTGCACTATAAATGAACGCGGTGGAAGGCAGCAGCAGAAGTAACAGCAGTTGACGTGGAGACCATTCCCGGCGGGATGACGGCATTGAATAAAGTACATTCGTTTGTAAGCCACTGGCAGATGTCTTTTTTTAGGGACACGTGGCCCGGCCTACTCACCCAACCACTCATTCACCCACTCACCCACCTACTCACGCACCCACTCATTCACCCACTCACCCACCTACTCACGCACCCACTCATTCACCCACTCACCCACCTACTCACACACCCACTCATTCACCCACCTACTCACGCACCCACTCATTCACCCACTCACCCACCTACTCACGCACCCACTCATTCACCCACTCACCCACCTACTCACGCACCCACTCATTCACCCACTCACCCACCTACTCACGCACCCACTCATTCACCCACTCACCCACCTACTCACGCACCCACTCATTCACCCACTCACCCACCTACTCACGCACCCACTCATTCACCCACTCACCCACCTACTCACGCACCCACTCATTCACCCACTCACCCACCTACTCACGCACCCACTCATTCACCCACTCACCCACCTGCTCACGCACCCACTCATTCACCCACTCACCCACCTACTCACGCACCCACTCATTCACCCACTCACGCACCCACTCATTCACCCACTCACCCACCTACTCACGCACCCACTCATTCACCCACCTACTCACGCACCCACTCATTCACCCACTCACCCACCTACTCACGCACCCACTCATTCACCCACTCACCCACCTACTCACGCACCCACTCATTCACCCACTCACCCACTTACTCACGCATCCACTCATTCACCCACTCACCCACTTACTCACGCACCCACTCATTCATTCACCCACTCACCCACCTACTCACGCACCCACTCATCATTCACCTACTCACTCACCCACCTACTCACGCACCCACCCATTGACCTTCCCATTCATTCAACCCCACCAACTCCCGCACCTCCGATTAACCACGGATCGCTACGTACGGTGCGAAAGAGGTTTAACATACATGCATACATGCTTGGTCACTTCACAGTGAGGACACCAATAATTTAATGCAGACTGCATGCACCATGTAAAATTGTGTATGAAATGTTTTTTTTACAATACTTGGTCTGCGGTGGTAAATATCGTGTCCTAGGTGACACCCGATCATTCGAGTATTCTATGCGAGGATAGTCATTGGCTCCTCATAAACTTTATACAATCATAACCTCTTCTGGCAGGCACAAGTAAATGTCCCCTGAAGAGGTAATTTAATTTAAATCTGCCACATGGTAATACTACATTTTAACAGCTAGGATTTAAATGTTAATTCAGATACACTCAGTATATATTTTCTCAAGACAAAATTATTCAGTTCTTTTAAAAACAAAATTATATATATAAACACACGTCACAAATGTTTCTTAATAGCATTAAACCGTAACGAAATGCGTAAAATCTGGAATGGGATTATTTAAACTGCAGCGATTCGTAAGTCTTGCTGGACGGAGCTGATAAGCCGTGGCAGGTCTCGCTTGATTAAAGTTTATCATCCGAAAAATATGTTATTCAGCCGTCCACTGCAAACCGCTATTCAGTACTTGAGGGACAGGGTGACACAAATGTGGATGGAAACCGGCCTGAAATGAAGAAACACCGTAACCTCAATGTAAACATGGATCTTAAAAACAAACTAAAATATCCCAAAGGCCCACAGACAATATGACGCACTTACCGACATCAACCAGCAAGAGGTGCTGTATGATAGACCTTCGAATCCAAACACGACTGAATCCCTCATGCACTTTCAATTGTCAAATAAAGGACGTGTTTGTTCTCCGTCGGAAATTCATTTGAAAATGGACAGCGTGAGTAGAAATGCACGTCCTAAAATGTATACATGTATCGCACGATAACAAAACAATGTATAAGTCCTGTACATCAATAGATGCATCCAGCATGCAGTAAATGCACTCCGTCCACTAAAGCTACATGTGACGGACTTCGTCCAACTACGGAGAGTGCGATGCACGGTGCTACTGTAATAATAATTACATAAAAACACAGCACACAGTCGAGCCTATTTGTGAAACAATCCCGTTTTGGAAAGAAAAAAGACCCCTCAAACATTCGTCAATAGATTTAAAGCTTTCGTGACTGCAGGGATTCATTAGGACACTGTCTTTCCGACAGCTTGGTTCTTCACCTGAGGACGGCTGCTTGCGTTGTGGCCGAAACGTCGTGATAATTTTATTTAATGATGTTTTTTTTTATTATTTCCCTTCTGCGTGACTTTACCGAAAGAACCAAGAATATTCGTCAATAAGGTAACATTCGGCGCAATGACCCTCCCGCTGTGGAGGGCCACTGCTCAAAATGTTGCCCATTATTTATTTCCTCCATAGGGCAGCGTTGTTCACACGTCTTGGGTCGTACACTTGTGCAGTAACTGCCATTGCAGAATCGCAGAGTTCCGTTCTGTTTTTTTTTGTCAGAAAAAAGTGAGTTTCTCTACTTGGAAGATACATCGTGCGGCGGTGAGAAATCATCTGTGCCTCGAGTTTCCTGGCTGGACGCTGGCTGGGCTCCTCAACCACCCCGACAATAACCGAATGAAAGTGACAGCTGTTGCCTTATTTTCCGTTGCGGACGAACGGATTCTGATGTCGTCTTACATTCAAATAAGCCGAGTTATTTACCCTACGTGCTTGTATAAACTAAGTACAATATTTTAAGAAAGCCTGCCTTATGGCTCAGCGGTAGAGTGAGCGGCTCGCATTTGGAAAGTCGCGAGTTCAATGCCTGGTTGGTTGGGGGTCAAAGTAAACCACTCTGTGGGTAAGTCAACAGCGGTCGTCTTATGGATAGACTCGCCCCTGCCATGGGGATGAGGAATGTCCACCGCCGGCTCAGGGATGAGCAGCAATGCTCATTTCAGTAGGAAATGACGTTGACTATGTTAAAACAAACAACATTGACTCTAATTCACTTTGTACGTACGTATGAACTTGTTTCGACGTAGCCAACCGTGCTAATCGTAGCCAACCGCGCTAATCCCTTAAACCAATAGGGTTAAATAAATATTTATTGCACACACTTGCTTTTGCCAACCAAAACACAGAGGTTAAGCCATACCAATGCATCAGAAATAGCACCTCATTACTTAAAAAATACACCAATGTGTATATCAATATCTTAGGGTGTACTGTATGACCTTCAGGAGTACAGTTGAGCCAATATAAATATGATTAAAGCAATCCTAAGCAATCAGTGAGGCTGTATAGGTAAATTCTAATGAGCATGGAGGCATACAAGGCGAGGAATGAGTCATTAAAGGCCTTTTATTCCCATGACCTATATCAAGTGACAAAATCCCACACGCCTACAGGTTCAAGGTTGCCTCATCAAGCAGGTAGTGTCTAGCTTGCCGCACGTGGGAGTTGTTTGACTATACTTCCCCGCGGTGGTGAAAGTGGTTTGTTCAAGGAAGTACCCAGCACTGGTTCAGATGCCACTCGCCATCGACGTTAGCCGTGGCTGGGAGTCGAGCTGGGATCATCGGGTTCATAGAGCAGTGGGGCATTGTAGCATCGGCTCCACTCCGTGTACAAACACACGAACTCAAAACAAAGACACAAAAATCCACATTCCACACACGAAGGCTAAGTCTCCCTTAATAGCAAGCTGTTGATTTCGATCAAAGAGCGTTCTCACGTGCTTGCCAACGTACAAATCATACTGAAACGAAGGACCCCCAGAGAATCATGAGGTCCAGGTCTCGAAAGCCCGCGCAATGATGTGGTTGCAGGCCGCTAAATTGTAAATCCAGGCCCATCCCGAGTCAACGGGGTTCACAAGAGCTCCTCGGGTTTTGAAACGTGTGGGGGGGGGGGGGGGGGTGGAGACACCCGATCAAAAAATTCCCACACTCCCCATAAGATTTAAATGCCTTACGACAATCCAGTGCAAATGTCCAAACAAAGAGCCCCCTGCCAGACGCATTCGGGCTATGCGGCAGTCTGCACTCACAATTAACCCCATAATTACATAAGACGGTTACAAAATCTTAAATCATTTGATTGAGGTCTTCTGGTAAAAGAGAATCTACAGGCCATTCTCTTGAGAGCACACCTTGCCAGAATGACTTTGTATTGCAGCTGGCAAATCGAGCGCCTGCATCAGTTGTTCTCAAAGGTGACAACGAGAGGCAGGAAGTGGAGTATACATAGGGCAATCGTGCGCAAAGCGCTTTTAAATTACCACTGAGAAAATAACTGCCTCTCAACCGCTTATTAACAAGCTTTTTTTAATATATAATTCGGAGAAACAATTTTAACTGCTGCCTTTTCAATTACATTTTTTTTTATTCCAGGCTTCGCAAAATTATAGAGTGCTGCATCATTTCCCATTATGATCCTGCGGTGTTTTAATAAATAATCCAAATAAATATTCATATATTTATATTTTAAAAAGCAGCAAAATCATTATTTACGTATAAGACCAATGGTCATAATGTTTCCGTAGAATAATACGTTTTATGACTATAAAGGCCAGTATTTCATGACAAAATATGAGACGGTATTTGTGTTGAGCTAGCAACGTCGGCATAAATAAAATAAAACAATTCAAGACTGCACCTAAAATCAAAGCAAAAACAAATGGATGAATGCTATAAACAGCTTTTAGATATTTATACAAAATGTGTGCGATTTGAACAACAGAGGATCGCGGAAGAGGGCCAGGTTGGTAAATATTAATCCAACAGTCGATTGACCATAGCTAATGATGACGATGTGCATGTAGGGGTGTTGTGGGAAGGAAACACACAGTGTGGGAAGGTAACACACAACCACGTCCGTTATAGCCTCGCCCTCAGTGGTGTATGGGTACAAAGGGCGGGGAGCCAGAGAGCTCGGGGCAGTGTGTTGGGGCCAAGAATGAAGAACCAGTGAAGAAGGAAGGCCGGCTAGATAGACCCTGGGACTTCCCTGACCGCTGTCCTTTTGAGGGCCGGCAGGGTAAGTCGGTGGTGCGGCCTCAAAGCCGGAGCCCTTTTAAGGGTCGGTCTGGTTGGTGGGGTGCCGTGATCTGTGCTTGACCAGGGCCAGATCAGATAGCCTCCTCTAGCGCCTGTACCTGGAGGAACTGGGAGCACATGAATTAGGCTAGATAGCCTAGGGGGTGTCCCAGCGTGTATAGGGGTGAAGGGGCCGTTACCCCTTCCAGTGTAACCCTTGTTAAGTTGAATAAACAGTGCTGCCTCTACTCCACCGTCTCCGTGTCCCGTGAACCCACTACATACATATGACCCTTGCAGCTTAAAGAAAATTTGCATCGGTTCACAAATTGAATGAAAATAAATGTTATGAAAATGTATGAACACACCAGTAACATTTGAATTTTGAGTTAAAGCTTTCGTGACTGCAGGGATTCATATTCTTGGTTCTTTTGGTAAAGTAACGTAGAAGGGAAACAATAAAATAATACAAATATAAAAGAATATGAACACCGGTAACATGTTTAAATCTTGATATCTTGAAAGAGTGCCCGACAGAGCCGACTTGCTTATTCAGCAAAGCTAAAATGTCTAATTGTTTCCATCCGTTTATAGAGGACCATCAGCTCATAAATGTACTTGGCTCCCTGATTAGCATTTTTAATGGCAAATAATCCATATGGTGGTGAAAAACGCGTGCCATTCTCAATATTTTAATGTAAGACAGCAGAAAATCGGTTCACAAGCGGGTCCGAGAATGAATTGCATGAATTAAATCTTAAAATTTGCAGACTGGGTGATGATTCATTAGTGTGGGGCAACGGATGTAACACAAATTGAGACCCCTTGCGAGCATTCCATCACAAACCACACGTAACCTTGAGCGTGCTGGTTAAATAAACCCTGTCCTCGCCTGCTTGCTACAAATATATCCTTTTCTAAACAACTGTGTGCGGTCAGGTGTTTGCATCCCAGCCAGATTCGCCATAGTTCAATTAGCTTATAACCTTTGAAAAAACAAACCCCGTTTCGTTTTCTTTTACATCAAAACGTTACACGAGGCCGCTGCTCTTTGGCATGTTAAAATTGGAAAATAAATCGTCGTATTTTCTACGGTCACCAAAGAAGGGACAGCCTACTTGTTCACACACTGCTGTTCAATGCAACTTCCTTTATAATTATATTCCAAACAAAACGAGAGTTTCTGAAATACGGAACTATCACCCAATTCAAGGGGAGGTGGGCGACTTAGGCTTGGTGTTTACTTACGCACAGAGTATACATAAGAACACTGTTGGGTAAAGTGCTATGAGTGAGTTGCACCTATGAAGGCCGTCATGGTACACGACGAGGGTGGGTGGCCAGCAACACGCCCGACCGTCTCTTGTTTCCTCACTGGCGGTTTACACACCGAGTCGACCTACGGGAGGCCCAAGGCCAGTGCAGGCAATCATCACCGGTGTTCGTGGCCGTGAACCAAACTCGAGTCGCCGGCTTCGGAGCAGAGCACAGAAGCGCTTCACCACTGCTCCACCACTCTCCACAAACACAGCCCCATGGGCACACACGAAATCAAATATCAATACTTTACATTTGGGAAACAAGTGGTGGGTTGTACTGCCGGAGTCTATCAACCAGACTGACAATGGAAAATTGTCTTCGACTGTCCACACGAGATGAATGTGGGAAACTGCCACTTAAGTTTGGAAACAATTTTAAAGTTCACTCGATGAAGTTTCACGACGTGATAGGTAGGGTTCAGTAAAAAAAAACATCCAAAAGATACTCGCTTCCGAGTTCTCGATCGAACATTGCGCTGTTTGTGAAATGTGCGCATTATGAATTGTTTATCGTTTTACTACGTACCGTACGACAGAAGTTTAACATGCATAAATACATGTACTTACATTTTTTCCCCCATTCATTTTTCAGCAACAGTTGGGTGCGTGTCTTTTAATCCAATAGGTGTGTTTGTGTGATTAGAATATATTGACACCGGGTCCATCTGACTCTATGGGCAGTCTTATAATCTGCAGAGTATAGTAATAGATCATTAAAATGTTCAAAATTCCACTGGTTATACTGTGAAAGCATTGTGCATATAATTCAGCAACGATGTTGTCAAATGATCAATGCATTGCCTTTTTTACATCAAGGCATATTTCTGGTTGTGAATAAAAACGTTAAGGGTCAGTCACTAAAGAAGTGGGCTCAAAGAAAAAAAAAAGTTGAAATCCTGATTTGCGTTGGTTGAGTCCATTATGCATATTCAGCTTCTTTAGCACTCTATGTAGCCAATCGTGCGAACCTGAGGTGCGGGGGGAAGGATAACAAACTAAACACAAAAAGCAGTTCTAAAGAAATTAATTTTCAATATAGAGAATGAGCGTTTTAATCACATTTTGTTGGCAAATTGTGACCCTATCCATCACCAACACTGGGTACAATAACCAAAAGGCCATTCTGCCAACACGTGAACCTGGCGCAATATTTAAGTATTGTTTTTTTATTTGCACTAATACGCACAATTTTTTTTGTGAATCGAGACTTCCTAAAAAGTAAAAAAACAGGCCTTTCGCAAGCACTGAATGTAACACGACAAATTATCAAAACATCTAGAGAATTCCAACCAATTTTTTTACAGCACACAATAGATAACATTCACATCAGGCTACTCGCATGAATCCCCACTAGAATCAGGCTTAAGACCGACGGGCTGGAGCGAGATATTGCAAGAATACATTTGGGGAATTGGCTGATCACTGCTCTTATTTCCTTATCTTATTACCAACATTAAAGATGCCTTGGTCGAATGTGGAGACGCCCTTCAACTTTTTAAAGCAATTCATTCTTACACGCTGGTTGGTCACGTTAATTTTAATTGTTTTCCCATTCGCCAACGCGTTGATAACGTTTTATATTTCTCTTCAGAATTGATACGGCTTCATAAGGCACTGCCCTACGCAGCCTTAGGTTATTGGCGATAACAAATTTACACCTTTTTAACAAGAGTAGACCTTTTCCATTCAGTTACAGCATTGTGTAATTTTATTCAACATTGTTTAAAATAAGCATCGCGACTCGAGCACATAGTTTTGTCATTTCATAGCACTTTGTTTGTGCAGCGCTTGCTGCTATCAATTTCTATTTTAAGGTGTTGACTTGGTACGAACTTGGACATCAGTGTTACGGACCATCAAACCCTTTGCCATTTTTTTTTAAACAAGTGATGCAATTCTTCCGTAGGAGAAAAAAACATTCACAAGTGCAATGTGATTGTTTTTTTGCCAAATGCAATGTCATTGTTTTTGCCAATGTTCACCAACAGCTCAATGACCATCTGCGCATTAACATGCTTTTGTTGTTGTTTTAGTACCACGTAGGTTTTTACTGTTGTATAGCTATCGATGCTGTATAGCGCTTGCTGTGTTTTCAGGTCGTTGCTGCATGTTGTTCGGAATGCCCGACGTTTTGCCGCTTCTCCGTGAACTGAACACAGAAAATATATTGGAGACCTAATCATATTTTACACTTTATTCATCCCTGCTTGTGGAAAGGTAGCCTTGTACAGCACGTCTTGAACGCTATTACTTAAAAAAAAAACACACCGAATATTCCACGCTCAGCAATACATTTCACCAACATCAATTATCACACGAGTCACGTGTTGGGTCCAAGGTGAGAATACACCCAAGGGCACGGTGCTGGTACCACTGAGAGAGAGGACATTCTTCGCAAGGGAACATCTAACCTTGTTTTCTTTTACGTTAACCATATGGGCGAGGTGTAAACAAGGCCAGGAGCCATTAAATATTAAACGTGATCCCAAAAACAATAGCTAACTAGCTGCAAGATTTAGTTGTTGTAAAATATTCATGACCTTCAACGGGAGGCCCAAGGCAGATTTTTGCTGACCCAGGACACGGTGCAACACAAGAGTTAAAATCTGTTGCGCTTTGAGAAATAAATGTTACAAAATCCATGCAGGGCTATTTGTAGAAAGGACAATTAGCACTTTCAGCGAGTTTAGCTCTATGATGTGTTTTCAGGTTGTCTCGCGAGGTACAACTTGAATAAGAACATCGGACAGATATACGGCACAACTGCTAAAACCTACGTGGGTACTTTCCAAGCCTATACTATTACTTTCTAAATGGTATTTCAAACATCTTGATTCACAGATGTTTAAAATAAAATAAATAAAAATGTGGGGCTGTATCACCACTGGTGCTCAAAAACATATAAAAACTGAATGGAAGGTAATGGGCAGGGCTTGGTGACATTATCCGCGTCATGCTGGGCGTGGCTTTATAGGGGGGGGGGGTTTCCCACCTTCGGGTAGGCAGGGGACATCTGGACGGCAGCCATTTACAAAGAGGGCCCCAAGTAATCGACCACCGATAAGGGTGCCGTCGATTTCAAATCGGCTTCAATCGGTAGCAGTCATCCGAGCCGCAGCTCAGAGCGACTTCTGGCTGGCCTGCCGTCTGTGCACGAGCTGGGCGATGGGGCGAGCGAGGGCGAGCGGGTTCCTGTGGGGTGCGTGCCGGTCTGCCCCGTCCACCACCACGTGCCGGGCCGCGGGGGCGATGCTGGATACGAGCTGCCGTTGCGCCTGCGTAAACACCTGCAAAGCAGCAGCAGCAGCAGCAGCAGTAAAAGTACAGTAGTAAATGCCAGCGATCGATATTGCATGCCTTCCATCTCACCGGACCACTCCGGTCATTGAGTCAGAGGCTCTGAAGCGTTCCATAATGGCGGTGAAAGTAAACATGCATAGCAATGCAGTTATTTTTTTTTTTGCTCACGTCCCCCGCTGTTGGAAGGGCCCCCACTCGAAGGCAGCTCATGAAAGCATCTCTCTTGAGTGGGTCTTCGGGCCTACTCTTCCACACTGGCCACGCATTGTGTAAGAGGTGAGAGATGCCCACACTTTACCCCACCATGCATGTAACTTGCCAATCGACTATAATAATGGTGAGGGTTACCCATTTATACTGCTGGGTGGACAGAGGGTGGATTGTTAAGAACATTGCCAATGGTTGAAACTGCCGTGCGCCCTGGAGATGAGATTGAATGGGCGACCTCCCGATTTCAAGCCGAGTGCGCGAACCGTTGCCTCAGTGGCAATCTCACCAGAAAGCTGACAAAAAATTAAAAGAGGCATTTCTATACACTGGTGCATTCATCCAATGATCCAACCAATAATCTGTATACATCGAGTTTAGATTCATAACAAAATAAAAAAAAAGCCAGAAACCACAGGAGTTAAAAGCTGTAAGAAAAAAAATAACACTCTTCATAACAATCAATTCAAATCCCTATCATGTGCGTTTATACGCATTACCCAATGATTTCCTTTCATTCTCTGGACATTTTAATTCAAGGGTCCTAAGGAAGGAGAGGTCAAGTTTATAGCTTCAGGTTCATGAATAATCTCCTGGAATCATTGCAGAGCTTACAATTATCAATTTTATCACAACAGAAACATGGTGATCCATTTAGACACCCCACTGTGATTTCTAATGACCTGTCTTTTCAGTCAAAATGGTGAAAGCAACAGCTCGATATTATTATCTGAGAGAAGGAGAGTGTTAAAATATTGACTTAGGTGTTTTGAGACTTATTATTTCAGTGGGACGTCTATAAATGTATCACTCTGTGCAGTATATTGGGTCACACAAAATGGAAAGATTTACACTTAAAATGAATACAATTACCTGGCAATGGAATTGGGTGTATTTTCTTTTTATCAATGTCTTATTAGACAAAGCCATGAAAACATGTACACATACATACAAAGACACAGATCCCCCTCACAGTCTTAACAGGTCAAGTTCTGTTAGCGAGCACCTGTGAAGGCCGGCATGGCACACGAGGGGAGGTGTGGATAGCTAACACCACGCCCCGGCCGCCTTTGTCTCCCTGGTAGCCATGTTTACACACTGCACCAGGTACTCATTGGAGCTAGGGGAGGCCCAGGACCGGTTCAGATATCCGCCGATTACAACCCTGTTATTGGTCGCCGGCGGGAATTGACCTCGGGTCACCGGGGTTCGTAGCCAGCCTAACCGCTGGCGCAAACCGCTCCCCATACACACACATACATACCCGCACACACACTTGTATAAAAGAACTGTTCCGTTGCGAAGCAATGCTGCGTGCTAATGACCACATAATTACGGTTAAATGCCCCAACAATGAGAGCAAGTCAGAGGGGGGGGGGGGGCGGAACGACCCTTTGTGTGCAATGGATAATTTCGAACGTAGGCACTAACCACAAGCATTTGGGGTTTTAAAACCCATAAATTAGGGTTTTGCAATTGGGACCGTTTCACCAGAAGACTTTATCATTGTGAATCTGGCCACATAAATGTCCCCTTAACAGCATCCCAACACGCATATTCATCATGGCACAGGCCTTGTTGATTTAATTTAAAACACCACGTGCCACCCTCACTGTCTGCAACCGGGCACATCAACTTACGATGCAAATGGCTCCATGCAACCAGGTGTGTGTGTGTGTGTGCTGATGCCGAGTTGTACCCTTGTGGCTTAAACTTGTGTTCATCAAGGATGAACAATCAGGGGATGAGATTCGAATTTGTTTTGATGTTTAGTACGAGCAATGCCCAAGAGCAACAGATCAACCGATATGGAACCATGCAACACTGCGTGCACGAATCTTAAAGTAAAATGAAATCAACATAAACAGAAAAAAATAAAATCAACATCGCATTCACAATTTTTTGGCTATTAAGAGTTTAGCAAACGTTATGGGGGATTATTTATTTATTTAATATATTGGTCGGAAGGCTACCACTTGAAAAGCACACAATACAACCTAGCTTTTAAATATACACCAATAAACTATCCCAATCAACTATCTACTAAATAAGAATATGCATTTAATTAATCTTAAAAAAGAAACACATCAGCATTGCAACTTGAATGCAAACCACATTACGTTGCTAGAAAGTTCTATACTCCCCAAGCAGAGTCGATGCAAGTGCATGTCAAACTGTGCGCAGGTGCGAGAAGTTGGGCTGTGATTGGTACTAACCTTGTTAACGGTACCTGGCAGCAGCTCATCGTAGTAATTCCCATTGATCACCGTCACGTTAATGCGGGACGGTAGCGGTTTGAACTGCATGATGTCGCTGACAGAAGAAGAACGTACAAAATTTACTTGACTAAACTAATATATATTAGTTACACACTGCATACATTAATTTTTCGTCTCCCCCCTCCTCTTTTCAGAACATAGATGGACTAGTCCTTCTAAATAAACTGCCAAATCGCTGCGCGTGGCGCTGACGTTTTTAATAAATAAATACACCGTTTTAAAATAAATAAATTAATGCAAACCGACACACCTGATGACGACCGTTTGTGTTATGGTCGAAACGTCGTGATAATTTTTGTTGTTTTATATATATTTTATTATTTTATTGTTTCGCTTCAACGTGACTTTACCGAAAGAGCTAAGAATATGAATTGCTGCAGTCACGAAAGCTTCAAATCAAAATTTAATATATATTTTTTTTACGGACTGGTAAAACCACTTAAGCTGTGTAATTGTTCTTAACACATTTGTAGGATTTCGTGGTTGATCTGCACAGTTCTCCAATATGTTTCCGGGGGTTTATATCGCGTGTCATTTCGGTACGATGTCCAGCGTTTCAGATCCACGTGCCGGGGAGCTGCTTCATGGAACCGAACCGAGTTACCGAAAAGCACATTGGGCGAGGCATATGCCTGCGAGCTTGACAGCAAGCTAACACAAACATATTACAAAACCGCAACATTCATTGCCTCTTGTATAACCAATAGAGCACAGGTAAGTAGAAACAAAATAACTGCAGCACTTATTGGTGTTCAGTGTTTTGGTAACAAAGGAAATGCTTGGCATCCATCCATTATTCATGAAATCATTGACAGGCCCCTACAAATCCGGAGAGAAATGGTCAGGCAGGGTACTCATTACCGCAGGCATTGAAGCATATGCCAATTAGGGAAAGAAGACCGAGATTCCATGAAAAAAACTGTAATTAAAATCGGTGCACCAAATGTGACATTTCACTTAAAAGATGCAGCGATTAACGGTGAATATTTTCTGAAGAAACAAGAAAGGGTTAATAATGTCAACACGGCTGCTTAATGTATTCATTTATCAGGAGGAGGACAGTCAATTTGATAGGAAACATCCGGCCGAGCCAACAAGCACGCACGTCTACAGGTCTGTAGACGCAGCATTGACATCCAGACATTATAAGGCCACGGATGGAATCAATTCGAGCGCGTTTATTGTTCTTTCGATATAATTTATTCACGACATACATCGTGCGCCTTTTGTCTCCATCACAACGAGATGAATGCAACATTTAAAATAATTGCACACACAGTAACCGGGCACTGGTACGATGTATGAATAAAAGTAAAAAAATAGTCACCAATTAACGTTAAATATTAATAGTCCAGCTTTACCCTTATTTTGTGAAGGACTTGTGCCAATATGAAATGCATTACACATACATACCGCCCCCCCCTCTCCCCAACACCCTGACCAGGAGTAAATATTTGATTGACTGCTCTATGGAATCTATTGCCTTTAGTCCAGAGGGGTTGAGACAATGGATTGTAAATGACAATCTATATTCCCGTGCAGGTGAAATTATTTTCGGTAACACACTTTTCACGGGTGCAGTTATCTTGTATGGGTTTTTTCTTGCATCGTTGGAAACTGCATACATATTTAGTTAAGTTCTTGCCTCTGCATTAACACAATTAGGAATTCATGTTTGCTTAAAATGTTTCTTTACCCAATTACACTGGGGTGTAACACCAATTGAATTTGAATGATATATTGTACGCCTTTGTTGATTTTTTTTTACCGAAACGCATTAATTTATGTGGTATCATTGGAAATCAATATAAATCAATTTGAGAGTTATTATTATGTTGACTCTAGCCTCAATTTATTCCTTTCGATCGCAGGTGGCTATCCTAAATTGCGATCAAATCCTAATTGTATTTATGTAGGTGCACTCCTTGGAATTGAAGCAAGCCTTAATATCTCCAAGTGACAATATTATACATGTCAATGACACACGCTGCTGTATGTGGATTCCCCCCCTCACCCACAAATCAAAAAACGAACCCAGTTGTGGTTGAAACCCTTTTGAGGTCAGGCTGCCCTGAGCAGCAAATTCCTTTTGCTTCCGTTTTTTTTCTCTCCTCCAAAGCAAACCACTCGGCTGTCGATTCCCGGCCAAAGCGATAGTCAATCTGCCACGGGGCGTCTCTCGCTTATCAAATAGAGGGGGGGCATGGAATTGCATTACCTATAATGCATTTATGACAAATGTATTTAAGGGCATTATGGGAAGAAACATTTTCAATACCCTGCGCAACTCCACCACTGGAAAAAAAATAAACGAAACTGTAGTCATCGCAGAATAAAAATTCATGGAATTATTTAAAATTAGATGTTACGGTGGAAGGATTGCTACAATGACGCTAAATGTGTTATTCGTGAAAAAAATGTGTTATTAATGGTTTTATTTAATTACAAAAGTTTACTTAATGCTTCAGAATACATTTTGCGCAAAAGCTGTTTATCACGTTAAATTATAATTTTAATTTATTATGTAAATAAATATTTCCAACCTATAGTTGACAATCATTATAAAAATGAAATGTGCCAAAATGTAGCCCATGAAACTTGCCAACTCTTGTAAATTGTAAAAAAAAATTATACCTCCAGGCAGAATAAAATTGATAAAGATAAAATAAGTTCATTGGTAGGGTAATGAGAAAACTTTGTCATGTTGTGCATATCGCCACAATGGTGTCTTTGAAAGCAAACAAATATCAGATCTTGTTCCTGACAGATTCACAGTAAGGGGAGGAAAAAAACAAATCCGTTATTGCCCTTTGGCAGAGAAACAAAAAAAGTTTCAAGTTAAAATTAATTTAACCAGGTCATAAGTCACGTGATCAGGATGAGTCTCACTGAAAGAGTGACCCTGGGGCATTAGTTGGCAAGTAGGGCGTGATGATTTCCATGTAAAATCCCAATTGAGAGTAATTTGCGGGTACATTTTAGAATGTCAAATTTGGACCATGACGCCACCAACACAATGGCCTGCTCTTGTGATATTCAACGTCCACCGTGAAGCAGACAGCGTGGAGTAATAATTACGGTTTTTGCACCCGCAGCGATAAATCGGGAGGCCGATGGGATTAGAACCGCGAACATCTGCAACGAGCGGTGAACGCGCGACCTTTGGCCACGTCACCGACCTCCAAAGGCTGCAAGGATTCTGCTACTCACACACCTGTCTCGTCTCATCCAGGAGGATGCATCCCATTAGCTCCACCAGGCAGGAGACGCAATACCAAGTCCAGCGGTGTCAAATGTTTCCATCAGAAATGCACAGGGCAGTCGTGAACGCGTCACTAAAGAGGATGGCGAGTAGATGTTCAGTATTTTCTATAATCTAGTGTATTGATGCTCATCATTTATCAGCCATGATCTGTCCAGTGCTGGGTGAAGGCCTGCCCAAGCCATTGCCAACCTTCACGGGCATGCAATCTATCTTGCACACGAACTGATCTCATTACTCCATCGCTCTGGTGGCCATCATCTCTGGTCGATTTTCTCCCAAACGGTTGCCACTTCTTTGTTCGTGCCAACCACGGGGCCACCATCCCTTGTCGTGACGTTTCCCGCACAAGCCACTTACTATTCTTACGAGTCGGTATGAAGTCTCCCTCCGATCCACGTTCCTCTCGTTGTATCTTATTGTAATGCCAGTCAAACACTTTGCCTTGTTGATTTGCACTCTCCCACTTCAGTTCAATATTTCACCTAAAGTGCGTCAATATTGTCCGTACTTTTTTCAAAATGAATTGTAACCACAATAAAAAATGTATTGTAACCATTCCTTTGTAACTCTCTCTCGATGGTAGAATAGGTGGCCATTATTCAAACCTAATGAGTCCTTTCCTTTTCTCCTCACCCGAGTGCAACTATATCCCGGTTTATTTCTGCCAATTCTGCTTCCAGCTAAAAAAAAAAAAAATTGGCACTTGCATGACAACGAGTGCTACTTGGTGTGCTTTTATTTCCCACCATTAAGGCTAAATCAGAAGAGAAAACAACACTTAACTTCGTTGCGTGTCGACAAAGCGCAGGAGGTGGGCTGCGTTCGAATGAAACGATAAAGTAAAGCAACATCACCCCACCACGGTTGGCCAACTCACCTGACTTGAGCCAAGCTTTCGTTAACGAGGAAGTGCTCCTCCACGGCCGCGCTCATGTGTGGCGGACTGCACAGCAGGAACTTCTGTCGGGGGGAGGGTGGGGAACGGGGGATTGGCACGGTTATCCGACAGCGATTGAGTGCGTGTCCGCTTCTCGCCATGCGCGACTCGCCGAGTGACTGCCCCCACAGCGCGACCTCCGAGGGCCATGGCGCATCTGTCAATGTCACTTCGCAAGTGAAAAAGTTGCACCGCTTGCGAAGGACATCTTCCTCACGAGTTTTTATGAGTACGTAGAAATGGCAAATGTGTAATGTTCTTTTTATGAATATGATTATACATATATACATGTGTTGAACTTCTTTCGAACCGTGCGTAGACAACCACGCTAATCGGATAAAAATAAGTGATTATACATATTTTATATTATACGTATGATTTTATATTATACATATGATTTAATCTCAATGTATAGATAGCGCCCTGCAATTACTTCCTCACGCTACTGCTCACGGAAGGACCTACATCTGAGGGAGCTCTAAAGAGCCTCTCTAAGAGGGTACTTGGCCTACTCTTCCACACCGATTCTAATGTATACATACAGAAAGGGAAGAACATCCTCAAAACGGAGTTAACAAGTGAAATAAATATATTGGCTCGCCATTCATCGCTTCATTATCAGAAATGCCATCGTTATACATTTCTCAAAATATAATTCTTAGGATATCTATGAGCAACATGTAACCATGGACAAGTAGTCTATTTCAAAACATCTCCCATATGTGCTGCAGAAAACTCTCCGTTGGCTCACTCCACACACTCGTATGGACATTGCAGCTGGCACTGTTTGGCTGACGTAGGAGCTCGGGCATTAGACAACCAAATATTTAATATGCAGGCAAGACATCTGTTCCTAGAGTACTCTGCGAACGTGAAAAAAAGGGGTCAACACGTTCTGGCTCGCACCACTGCCAAAAACGAGAGGCATCACAGATCCCTCTCAAGGGCACTGGGGCAACTGTGCAGGTTACCCGTGGACAAGGTAGAATGTGAATACAATGCTATTCTATTCCGGTGTAAGGCAGCAACATGCTCAGGAGCTAAATGACATTGACGAGGTCTGCTAGCCACGAGATGGTTTCAGGAGATAGTTCGTGTAGTTTTGCCATCCCTCCTCCATTGAAGGAGCACCGTCTACAGTGGTTCACTATACAGTCCATAGAGGGGAATAGCGTTCGCGGGAGTTAATAAACATCGACATGCAGGCAGAGTTAAACGACACAGTTGAGCATTATCTGGGTAAACGAGATAATTAACCGGTGCGCTGTATGACGGTTCAAATTAATTGTAGCGCAAGACTATCACGGAGGCGCTATGTATCACAAACATAGTCTGCATTAGTTTCACAGCAAGGGGCGATGTTACTTTTGCAGAATCCCAATTAAGTAAACTGCAGTGTAATTTTTATAATTTGATCAATTTGAACCAAGACGGAGGCACCAGCCTACTAATTTGAGAACGTCCACTCTGAAGCAGATGGCACCTAGGATTAGCATGGTTGGCTACGTACGGTGCGAAAGGAGTTCAACATACGTACATACACACGGCAAAGTAATAACAAGGGTGGCCTGTCTGAAGATCAGTTTTCATTTTCTATTCAAAAAGCAAAGCATAGCAGGAACCTAGCTGCAACACAGCACAACTTTGGGGTTGTCTGGCTCACTTGCCTCATTCTTGGTAAGCGGCAAGTGAGTGGCCGTTCGGATGGTTGCTAACCATGATGATCAAGAAAATGGCAACACTTGCCTAAGCTCCCCGTTGCATTTTTTCAGGCTGTGCCGAGCGTCGTTCGCCACAATGTCCGACGTTTCGCTTCACGGGCTTCTTCAGAAAACGAATAACTCCATTGATCACCCAAGCCGCCAGCACGCGTAGCGAAGAAATCGGGACGCCGTACCGAACAACATACGGCACAGGGCCGGAAACGCATCGGAGCGCTACACAGACACGATCGCGAACACCTACCCAGAAGGCAACAACTGCCCAACCTGCTGACCACGTCGTTGCCTGCCTGCTGACCACTTCGTTGCCTGCCTGCCGACCACGTCGTTGCCTGCCTGCTGACCACGTCGTTGCCTGCCTGCTGACAACTTCGTTGCCTGCCTGCTGACCATGTCGTTGCCTGTCTGCTGACCACTTCGTTGCCTGCCTGCTGACCACGTCGTTGCCTGCCTGCTGACCACGTCGTTACCTGCCTGCTGACCACTTCGTTGCCTGCCTGCTGACCACTTCGTTGCCTGCCTGCCGACCGCGTCGCAGGCAGGTGACACTTGCCTGCCTGCTGACCACGTCGTCGGTGACATCGGCGCCCGTCAAAGGCTGCTGCATGAGGCCAGTGATGAGACCCAACCGGTTCAGGCCCATGGCAGCCGACAAGTGCAACATCTGCAGAGAGGGCACGAGCTGCCCGTTCCTATGGGTTCGGACATAAGGAGACAAAGAGTTCAGAGAGGCAATGTCTACAGTCGTCAGAAAATACCAGCAAACCCCACTATATACGTACAACCATCAATCGCACGTGTACAGGGCTCTCCTTTTGTAAGAGGTTCAACGTTTGTATGTTACATCTGACTCGCTGCATGCAGATTTGGGTAGAGGCAGATATGTGTAAATGTCAGCCATGTGACATCAACAGAAAGACAGTTACGCCGTGAAGCCAGATAAGTGAATCGGTGACAGCGGGATATGCAGCGACGTTGTCCTGCACCAAAATACAACACTGCTTGAGCAAAGTAATTGTATTTTTTTCGGCAAAGCAATTTCAGGACTGCACCTGGACTATAAAAACAACCCATGTGGTCATGCCCGTAAAAAAGGACCCCTGTTGGATTTCCCTTTACCATTATAAGCATGTGACCCTGCCAAAGGCAATCATAGAATCCGTTAAATGTGCAACAAAGTACATTTCAACGAGTTATGAACAAACTTGTGTATTGCGGTGCAACATGCAACACTACACGTCCACAGTGTTGAAAGCCAAATCCCTACCGGAGCATGTAAAACATAAACACTGTTTAGAGCCGCAGGACTGCCGGGCAAGTTGCGCCATGAAACTTCAGCTTCACGAAGCAAGAGCGCTGTGTGTTGGCAATGTAACCGCAACAAGGAAGAAAAACGATCGTGCTTGTGCGGCAGGGACTCGCCAATACTGAAGCCAGGGATCTTCTTGGAAGAGCTCCTCTGTGAGGGCGTCAATGAGGACAAGGTCTGACACTTCCCTGGAAGAAGCACAGGAATAAAAGTGAGGGCGAGGCATGTGGGAGGAGCTCGGAGAAGTGACCACCAGCGAAGACCCACGGAGTTATGGAAGCTTTTTTAGCAGAACTACCTGGCCACAAAATGATAGCTCAACGAAGTGGCTTATCGCGTGGAAATTTCGAGCAGCCAAATACTCTAAACGCGCGTTTCTAAATGTGGGGGGGGGGGGGGGGGAGGGGGGGGAAACACCGCAGGACCTGGGGAAAAATCCACACGACCACAGGAAGAACACGCAAACTCCAAATATACAGCAGGCGTCAGGGTCGGGATCGAACCCATGAACCTCCTTGTATACCAGGCGAGGTCGTTAACATCTCGCCACCGTAGGACCCCAAAGCTGTAGTGCCCCAAAGCTTATCCTGCCCACCGCTGCCCACTTAAAGAGTTGCTCTACCTTTGTCCCACTGCTAACTTAATACCGTTAAAATGCATATTAATGAGCACGTGTCGTTGAGAATAAAAACAGACGGAACTTTCCTTAAAGCCGAGGTTTTCCGCGGCTGTGCTGCACAGCTCGCCGATGTGTTTTGGGGTCATACTGCGCGGTGTTCGGCACGATGTCTGACGTTTCACTCCCCGTGCTGGGAGAGCTTCTCCAGGAACTGACAAGAACGTCTATTTACGGGTCAGGTAAAAAGGAATGCTTATTTTGACAAACAAGCTTTTGTGCTCTAATGCAGGGGATGTAATGACTCATCTCGATGCACTGCAGTGACCTTAAGGTGATATTTATCTCTTAATAATACAAAAATGGTGGAACAAGACATTCTGCCGAGGCATACCTTAATATTGGCTGGATAATTATTTTTCATGGTTCGTAGCAATGTGCAAAAAAATACGCAATTTTACACAGTGGTCTTCATTCATGAACAGCGAAAGGTTAATATAAATGAAGTGGACATTACCACTAGATTCCTAGCCAGATTTGTGTTTAAGTACAGGGATATAATCGTAAACATGGATATACTATTTACATTCACATTCCAGAATACGATAAAAAAAAATTGCATATACAGTAAAACCTTGGATTGCGAGTAACTTGGTCTGCGAGTGTTTTGCAAGACGAGCAAAATTTTTAAATAAATACTAATTTGATAAACGAGCGAGGGTCTTGCAATACGAGTAGTATGTATAGACGCTTTGTCTGCCTAGCATCACGTGATCACAACTGATATACGAGTGCTTTGAATTACAAACACGTTTCCAGAACGAATTATGCCCGCAATCCAAGGTTTTAGATTTCCTTAAGAAAATCTCACTCAAACCACCTTTCCACTGCACAATTGAGCCATGCCAGGGGCGTATCCAACCCAGCCTGGCCGCACCTCAGGAGCCATCGCATTGTTTATCCACTTTACAAGCAGAGCCGTGCTGTTGACGTCAAATGCACTGAGCGAGTCATTAGCCGCTTCCCTGGCCCTGCTTGCCCACCCCCCCCCACCTGCCATAGCCAAATTCAGATACCTCGTGAGAGCAGAAGATCACGGTTTTTTTTTGTTACAGTTCGCCACAGCAAACAGCCGGCGGAAAAGGTGACTGTGTCATGGAGTATATTCTGGGCGGGCCCGGCTCGGGGTGTTAACGACGGCCGTGTTTTCACGGAGCACTTTGGCACCTCACAGCTACGCGTGCTCGCTACGGGAGTGTCTGCGCCCACGCACGAGTCGTAGATGTGGCTGTAGAAGCGTGCATTGAGGGCGCCGAGCTGGGCGCCGACGAGGACCAGAGGGCGCGCCAGCTTCGCCTCGAGCACCAGCCTGTGCAGGTCGTCCACCATCCTGCACGCGCACCGAGCGACGGCAAGGGGCACGCTGGCCAATCAACGGAACACGGTGACAGTTCCTCGTTATATATAAGCGCGCAGGGGGTGTCTGGGCAGTCCGGCGGTTAACGCGTTAGCGTCCATGACCTGGGTCCAAGAGTTGGACATTCGAGCACAGTTACGGCGCTGTTGTTTTCGAGGTGTGCTTGCACCGCTTGCTATGCCCAATCACAGAATGCTATTGCCAGATTTTATTGTCTGTGGTCATCCACGCGTTTTATTCCTCTTATCTGCGTGGAAAAATTTTGACAATATATTCAATTTTCAACCAGAGGGCGAGTTGTGATCGGGTCACACACACACACACAGGAATGCGTGGGCAATAGGATTAATTATATAATATAATTCATAATATAATTCATCCTATGCATTATAATTCATCCTATTGCCACCAGCAGGCTATGCGCTTTAACTGACGAAAAGGTGAAGGCTCACAAATGCATGCTCATATGCCACTGCTTGCTTAAGGGCGTCCACTAAAGGGAGCTCTAGAGGACATTCTTCTAAATTGGCCAGATGCCTTGGGAGAGGTGGAAATAGCACAATTTTACTCCACAACATGCGATCTGGATTAGAGAATTATTGCAAGTTAAGGACATAATTGAAAGCATTAAACACAAAAAAATTGGCTTGGGCAGAACACAAGATGACGAGAAAGGATAATCGTCGATGCTCAGGACTAGCGCTGGCATAGCAGCCAATGAAATGGAATGCATCCGAGAGTAAGCCTAAAGGGGAGATGGAGGAATGAAATCAGCTCGTGGTCAGGTGCTGGGCAGAATAATAGATCGCAAGGCTGGTGAGAGATGGTGGCAGCTTGGGGAGGACTTCATCCAGCAGTGGACTGACCAGGGTCTGATGATGACAATTAAGACGTTGATAATGTGTTCGCAAGTTGTTAGCGGATAAGCTGGGTGGTTCACCAAGCAGCAGAAAGCAGGGCTGCTTAATAACATTTCAGGGAATCGGTAATGAGCACAGCACGTCACCACAAAGGAGGACAACAACCATGGTAACCTCGTCTTCTTTAAAAAAAAACCTAATTTCATTAAATTAGTTTTCACACCTGCTTATTGAGCAGGCCTTCAAAACGCATATTAGATTTCACACTGCACCGCAAGATACCGTTTTAACGCAGCGCAAGCTACTGATTTATAAAACCCACACGGACCAGGGTGTATCGAGCGATTTCACTTTGCTCCGACTTTAAAACGGAACGGTGTCCAGATACACGTTAGACGAATGCGACATTTTCATCGCTGTTCAGTGCGTCTGTAAAGGAAAGCTGGATTAAACTCAGAAAGTAAAGTTACAACACGCCAATGCAATAAACCAAGGCATATTGTAAATTGTGCATATGATTTTATACTGTTGTTAAAACACGTGTTTAACTAAGACTTAAAATAATATTGATTAAAATCACTGTGATAATAATATTCTGAACATTTGTAGGAATAGGTAAAGGTGCAACCCAGAAATTGAAACTACTTGTTTCACCCAGAGTTCGGAGAAGGACCCCCACTAGAAATGGCTCAACAAAGCCCCTCCAGATATTATTTGGGCTGACTCTTTTATACACTGGCCAGGCATGTTGGGAAAAGGTAAAGATAAATATACATATTCTGATTTTGATAACCCACTTTAGTCGATGGAATAAATTAATGGTATCATCTTCATATAGACTTTGATTTCCACTCGAATTGTTTTGTGGGTATGAGCATTATAGAATAAAAAGTATAAGCAGGCAATCAGGCTACAAAAACAAAATGCGACTTGTATGCGTACAACAATGTATCCTCTTCGCATTGAGATACTTTAACTTTCCAAGCACACCGTTGTAACCGACAGACAGACCGAGAAATAACATATCAAGGTATGGCAACACTGGGGACATTGACGCCCCGTGGAGAATGAGAGGTGTTTGTGTTTGGCAGTTTCTTTCATAGCTCGTTTATTACCCGTTTCTCACCTATGCAAGGGGTTGCGGTTGTGTGGCTATCCCCAAGACCGGGGGACACTTCAAATAGGAATATGTCCCACTGCATGTAAATTGCATTGCACAGACACGACAATTATAACTCTTATTCTTAGTTTTTTCGGTAAAGTCACGTTGAAGAGAAACAACGTGACTTTACCGAAAAAACTAAGAATATGAATTACTGCAGTCACGAAAGCTTTAAATCAAAATTATAACTCTGTTTAATTATTGCATGTAATTTTGAAAATGACAATCGTAAAACATGAATTGTATTGCATTGTGAACAAATGTTTAAGGAAAGTAAATGATTTACATTAATTATCTACAAAGTGTGCTAATAATATGAATAAGCAATTCAAGTGCAACAATGAACAAAACAAAAAAGCAGCTATGTAAAACTAAACGGACAAAAACAAAAAATCGTGAATTAATGAATAAGCAGATAAACAGCTTAACTAAGCTAATTGTGTAGCTCCCCGGGGCTCCGTGATAGATATTGATTATTTGAAGCCCTTTTCCCCACTGAAATGAAACATTTATAAGTTGGGGCTTGACCTCATTTCCCCCCCCCCTCTGCAATGGTTATGCAAGCTGCAGTACAAGAGGGACTGCAGAGTGACCCCTGGCCAACACGGAGGTCAAATCCTCGACGCATTCTGTGACCCTGCCACCGCACGCACGGCATGTGACCGTGCTCGATTTGAACAAATTTTCGTGGCAAACGGAAGACCCGCGTTCCAAACGCTGCCGCTTTTTTTTTTTGGTCACCGCAATAAGCACAATGTGCTCAGAACACACCGCGCGTCCCTCCGGCAAAGCAATGTGTCCATCTCTTGATGAATGCACTCCCAAAAAAAAACCAAATCTCTTTGCCCCTCTTATTTCACAGCGAAACTCAGGACAGACTGGAAAGGTCAAGTGCAACCTTACCTGGGTCCCGCAACGTAACCTCATTTCAGGAGTTTTTGCACATTCATGCGTCGAAGAGAATGAGGTCAAGCCCTTTCAAGCAAGTTGCCCTTTGCGCTCAACGCCAAAGCCGAGGAATGTGACATCGTGCCGTCGAATGTGCGACACTAACGTGTGGGAGCACTTTGAAATTGCGCGGAACCTATACTGGCGCGGATCAAGCGATGAGATTCGATTGCTTTTGGGATCAAAAGACTCGCACCCTAGAATGCGCAAATACCACCGCACGGACACGCACACAAACCTGCCAGTGGTGAACATTTTCCAGACTTTCTCCATCCCTGTGGTGTCGTTTGGAATAGCGCGGCTGCTGAAACCAATTCCGGCACGATCATATATGCACACCTAAAATAAAAAACCACAGGCAGCAGCAACACGTTTAAAACAATTTACGGATGACATAATATTGAATGAGCAGAATTCGAAAGTATGGGACAGACCATGAAAATATGCTTTGGATCTTCAGTTTTTTTTTTATCCTGGAAAAAAAGCGAAGCTAGCGGGAGAAAATCAGTAGTAGATATAAAGAGATCCAAAAATAGCTGTTCCTTTAATGCCACTGCATTGTATTTCATCACCAGCCAGAATGCCTCCCGCCAGACTTGTACTGCGGTTTTATTCCGTGAAATCGCAAACAAAAACATCAAAACTGTGCCGAACAATTGTAAACACATAATACATTATGTATAATATATATGCTGAAGGCATTACGTAATTTTAGAACGTATGAATTTAATAAACACAACAGAACACAATCATCATTAGACCTCCTTTGCCAGTACCAAAATGTAATAATAGGGTTTTTCCCCTTTTTTCTGGCAACAAAACTGAAACCTTTTTACAAGGATTCATGTCTGCATTAACCACAATACCTGCAGTCAAAATGCAAACAAAAAACATACTATGATAATATATGCATTGTCCTTGAAACTGATTGGTCCACACCAAGGGACGGCTTTCTTTTGAGCCTCGACCCAATTGGTGCTCGACCAGAGGACGCCAGAAGGCGTTACACAGCTCAAAGACAATGCACTATCAAAGTAATGAGGGCTCGGGGTGAGCATCTACATCATTAGACCTCCTTTGCCAGTAGAAAATGTAATAATAGGGTTTTCCCCCTTTTTTCTGGCAACAAAACTGAAACCTATAACAGAACACAAGTTTTGATTTAAAGCTTTCGTGACTGCAGTAATTCATATTCTTAGTTTTTTCGGTAAAGTCACGTGACTTTACCGAAAAAACTAAGAATAAGAACACAAGTTATCGGTTCTCTTTATGTGCACAGCAACAGACCCAATACATTTTTGACGCAGTGTGCGACCATTAGCAATTAGTGCTGCTCATCTGTGGCTCATGCTGTTTCACACACCGTGGTGCCCACAAACGTAGCCACGGCTGTCAATATAAAACTGAGATCGTGACACAGCAGGACACCATTGATATTCAGGCCCTCGGCAGATAAACTTTTCAACAAAAAAGTGGATTTCTAGATATAATCGATAACATAACAGTTTCAATATTAATTTCAATCAATTGCCCTTGAAGGGAATAACAACTTGGCTCTAAATATATATGTAAAAAAGCAAAATCGGATGATGCGTTATCAGACATCGTTGAAATTGATTCAGATTACACAAAGTCCGTTTTTTGTATTATAAAAAAATTGCCTCGAGGGTGGCCACGCTCTTGTGAGCGAGGTCGTCTAATCACTGTGCGCTTTCACTCGGTCGGACTGTCACTATAGATGTGTGTGTGTGTGTGCGTGCACTATTGCCATCTATTGTTGCATGGGAGAGTATTGCACCTTTTAGTAACTGCCCGGATGGTTCAGCCGTAGAGCAAGTGGCTTCACAATTGGAAAAATGAGAGTTAAAATCGTCGATGGACGCTGACTCGGCCCATCTTTCCCTCAGGAATCCATTATATCGGCACCACTTTGCAGGGAAATCGACAGTGATTGTCCAATGGATAAACTTACCCCTGTCACAGGAATGTGGATATTTTGCACCTCTGACTTGAGGGTTGTAAACAGAAGATGAGCACCGTTCAATCGAGCAGGAAGTGACATTTACTTAAATTTGTGTACTTAAGCACGAGGAAATTCGTTCCTACTCATGAAACAAAACGAAGACCTTTTGAAACAGTGACCGAATCTGACCTATATAATTTACCTTGAAAGGGGATTTAATTCGTCAAAGTTGTAGACCTGGCGTAACAGGGACAGGCAGCAAACTTTGTGAGACTCAATGCATCGTCTCACAGTCAAGCCTGGTTGAAGAGCCACACGGATTACGTGGGTTCACAATCTCACCTCGAGTGTTGATGGTAAGTACGAATGCCCTGGAAAACTGTCAAGATGCTGCCGGAAAATTTTGCAGGCCACACCGTCTGCATTGCTTGAAATACTGCCAACGATTCTAGCAGCGAGCGTCATCTGGCTCGTTTGCCTTGCCCACTGCAGCAAAACGACACCGCCGCCATGCACAGGCCAATTCATCAAGCGCACGTGACTTGTCAAGCCGGATACAGGAGCTTTTGGTAGACTTTCGGCTAACCATCGAACAAAAACGGTCACTGGATCGCGGGCTTTCAAATGCGCTTCTGCGGCTGTCTGGAATGCTCTTCCTTCCGATATTAGGAAGCCACTGGAACTATGCAACTTTTAAATAATCTAGATTGAAATCTCATTTCTTTAGAACTGCTCTTTACGCTTAGTTTATTGTCCTTCTCTGGCAACTCCAACTAGCTAATCGGAGGTGCATACATATACAATGGACACGGAATCCGAAGCAAAGAGATGGCTGGAGTTTCAGTCAACAATGGTGGACACGTTTGGTCACAGAGGGCTCTGTCGCAGCGATCGTTCATGGCTTACAGAAAGATTCGGTCCCCTTCTGCGGATTTGCTCCCAATGCAACTTTAGTGCCCGATCGCCACTTTTGTTGATCATGCCACTTTTAATATCCTGTCCTTCTCTCCACCCATTGCAATTGTTCTTTTTATTTCCTTTTCCCATCTTCTTGCTTCTCTTGTTACTTCCGAGATCGCAGATAGAGACTGGTAAGATTATGCAAATTGACACTGGCCGCTTGGGAATTGTATGTCATGGTCTTTTTGTGTTCCTTGCGTTGTATAATTATTTAAAAAACGGTAAATACGTTGGGGCTGTTTCGGTGGGATTGATTTGTCGGCTGTGAGCCTTCCTTTTCACCTGAAAGTCAACGCATAACTTACATTTTTGGACTTTTTTATTGTTGCAAAGAGTGTGTCATAATAATGTTGCGCTATGTAGGATTGTGAGTGATCAAACCTCTCTTGAAGTGTTTGTCATCGAACATATATGGATTTAAAACAAATATCCTTTTTCCACAAATGCATCTCGATCATGCTTTCCGGGGTTATGTCATGACACAAAATAGGTAATCGGATCTCAGGCAGAGCAGTGCAACCTTCCTTGTCAGAACCCGACACAGCATCACTCAAATTCTGCTTCAGACACCAATGTTTGGAACCGTTACAGCCACACATCGATATTCTGCTGTGGCCCCTTCAGTGTGGAATTCTATCCCTTTGCACATCCACAACATCAATTGCACACCGACTTTCAAGAAAACAACTAAAGGCCTCCCATCCGTTTGGTCAGGCTTTCTCGCAGCCCTGAGCTTGGCCCCGCACCTCCCATTTGCTGACTTGTCTGTAAAATCCGGCGCGTTATGAATGTCATTATTATTATTAATGGGAGTGCATATCAAAGCCCAAACTCTCCAGATTCCTTCAAGGGACCGTTGTACCACACATGAAGGCACTGCACCCTTCCCACGTGCCCTGCCACTGACAGTGATGTTTGTCAAATGACAGTCAAACCAATAATAATTATTGCTCAGAGCTCCAAATTAGCCACACTAATGATAGAACCTGAATTTATTGTCATGGATTTTTTTGTGTGCCGTCATTGGTAACCGGGCTGAGAACATAAACTCACTGCACTTGAGAATCCCGTTGAATCTCACAGGGCGGCGTGGGGTTGAACCCAGGCTCTCATGGGTGCCAGCTCAGCAATCCGACCTCTTAACCTCGTGGCATCTCCGAAAATTCACACATTTTTAATGGCCATTTCAGTCTGAATTGTCAATGTACTATATGCTTATTCTATTTTCCATTCTACAACGGTCTAGTCAACTACTTTGCATAAGTCAATTGCTAAAAAAAGTATTGGTATTTTAATTAGATAATAACCTCAACAGTAAACACTATAATGACAATAATGGTAATTTCAGTTGTTTTTTTCCATTACATGGTGCAATTGTACTGGATTACAATGGATTTTAAAACATGCACGTACAAATCAATATTTGTATATGCACTTAGTCATAATTGCAGTTAAAAATGGCACAATCGTGTCACATCAAGTCATATATTTGTGTGGCTCTCACGATGCATTTTTGGGTTCCATCGCATGTTGTTCTGTTCCTGGATATCTGTGAAAAAGAGCTTCATAACTCATCGGATCTCTCTATGATAAACAAAAAATTCTGATTCTGATAATCCCACCAACTGCACATTCAGTTTTCTTTCAATGATATGGTCACATTCACGAGCACAATGTGCCGTCTTCCATCGCGCGATAGGGGGGTGGGGAGAGCTGGGGGGCGGGGGGGGGGGTTAGGGGGAGATTGTGTTAATTTGATTCCAAGGCGTTCGTTCAGCTGAAGCTATCATTAATTACGAGGTCTCGACCTGCACTGTGAGCGCGCTCCCTTGAATCTCTTTTACCCCATTGCTACCCACGTACGTGACGAGTCCTTCGCAAGGCCACTGAGCGCACACACGGCGACCCGGCCACGAGCGCTCCCACTCACTCAATGCACATCGTCAAGGAAGCAACAAGTAAAAGGCGCGGCCCCGCAATTGCCTTAGGAGCAGGGGTGGGGAACGTCCGGCCCGCAGGCTGTATAAGGCACCGCGAAATCATTTGGTGTGGCCCTGCCAAGGCAACCGCAGGCGGGACTCGAAATTCAATAAATCTAGAAGCAAACCATGAAAAGCAGTTGCGAGGAGCAACAAAATCATTACCAGCTAACATCACCACACACCTCACCAAAGAGAAGCAGTTACAGCCATCACATTAGGGGTGAGTTAATTAAATGTTTGACCAAACATAACAGGCTAATTTTTAAGTTGATAATTTGGTATGGCCCGCGAATGATGTTATAGATATCCAAATGGCCCGTGGCAGAAAAAAGGTTCCCCACCCCTGCCTTAGAGAACCCCTCAAGAGGGTGTTTGGCCTACCCTTCCACGCAGGCCAGACACCTTGGAGGAGGTTGGAGAATCCACACTTAAGC